GGCATGCAAGGTCACTTGATCTGTATCCCACTGAACATGCTTGGGACATTATTTGAAGACGTGTTTACGGTCTCCATGTTCACCCCCAGACTCTTGATGACCTTGAGCAGGCGTTACCGAGAGAATGGCAGAACACTTAATAAGGGCTTATTTTGTCAATGCAAAGACGTGTAGAAGCTTGCATTTGTGTTCAAGGTGTTCATTCGCGTTACTGAACACTGCTTCGCTGTCCAAAACTGACTTGAACCTTAATGTTAACATTTTGCTCCATCAAAGCAGCACATTTTGCACGACTGTTTCACGGGTATATGCTTTTGATGATTTGTAAGTCTATTATTGTTCAAGACCATTTCATTTCATTTTGCTAATTGTGTGTACATGTATTTCACTTTTCTATTGCATCATTCCATGATTTGCAATTTCAATAAATGAAACTATAATGAGACTAAAAATTGTGGTTGCTTAACTTTTTGTGAGGAGTATATGTTATATTTGGGATTGCACCTTCTCAGTAAAGTACAGATTCTAGTACTTTTTGTTGGCTTGAGCCCCAACCGGGATTCGAACCCAAACTCAGAATCAGGCACCTTAGTTCCAGCTCACAAAGTCAGCGATCTAACCTACACAGGCGATTAGTCGAGTGTTGGTTCGAATCCCGAAAGTGCTTCCTGGAAATCTTATCTATACGTTTATATATTGTGACACTAAAACTATCGACTATGCCACTGGATACGTTCATCACTACTCGCCCCTTCCCGTAAAATATTCCGCAATTAATTGCTTGAAAAAGCAGTTTACTGATTACCCAAAGAAAAAGAACGAAATGCCATAAGCGAAGGAATTGGCCAAATACAAACTCTAAGACGACACGTGGTTTTTTATGGTTTAGGTACTTTATCGACTTACTTAATCAAGTTAAGTGGTGTGTCTGTTTTAAGCTATATCGACGATATTCAATGTTGACTTGAACCTATAGCTGACGTTAAAAAATATGATCCCCTTTGTTAACACCAGCAACAACTGGCAGTTGTTTTCAAAAGATCGAATGCGGCGAGCAAATTAGGTTAATTTGCAATTGGTTAAGTCTTGCCTTTCAACGTCAGAGACTGAAACCAAACGGATGAGACTTTATATACTGTGGCTCTATTTAGTACTTAGATCACATTCAGAATACAGTAGATCAAGTGCAATATTCTGTATATCAAATGCACTATACATTGGGTGGGCTGCTACATATTTGGGGGATCTGTAAAAACTCCTCCCAATTGGTCGCGCAATAAACTCTTCCCTCCATCTGTGGTTCTATGGGGCAAGTGAACTCAACATGTTCACTCACAAATCCTTGTTAAAAGTTAAATTGAGGCGAAAAAACATGATTGGAAACATCGTACCATAATACGCCATTGAGGTTAAAACGGGGTTTTGAGTCATTGGATTAAAACGGGATTCGACTCATTGAGGTTAAAACGGTGTTAGGGTCATTGGGGTTAAAACGGTGTTTGGTTCATTGGGGTTAAAACGGGGTTTGAGTCATTGAGGTTAGAAACGGGGTTTGAGTCATTGGGTAAAAACGGGGTTTGAGTGATTCGGTAAAGACGGGGTTTGAGTGATTGGGTAAAAACGGGGTTTGGGTCATGGGGGTTAAAACGGGGTTTGGGTCATTGAGGTTAAAACGGGTTTTGAGTCATTGGGGTTAAAACGGGCTTTGAGTCATTGAGGTTAAAAACGGGGTTTGAGTCATTGAGGTTAAAAACGGGGTTTGAGTCATTGAGGTTAAAACGGGGTTGGGGTCATTGGGGTTAAAAACGGGGTTTGGGTCATTGGGGTTAAAAACGGGGTTTGAGTGATTGAGGTTAAAAACGGGGTTTGAGTCATTGGGGTCAAAAACGGGGTTTGGGTCATTGGGGTTAAAATCGGGGTTTGAGCCATTGGGTAAAAACGGGGCTTGAGTGATTGGGTAAAAACGGGGTTTGGGTCATGGGGGTTAAAACGGTGTTTGGGTCATTGAGGTTAAAAACGGGGTTTGAGTGATTGGGGTTAAAACGGGCTTTGAGTCATTGAAGTTAAAAACGGGGTTTGAGTCATTGAAGTTAAAAACGGGGTTTGAGTCATTGAGGTTAAAAACGGGGTTTGAGTCATTGAGGTTAAAAACGGGGTTTGGGTCATTGGGGTTCAAAACGGGGTTTGGGTCATTGGGTTAAAAACGGGGTTGAGTGATTGAGGTTAAAAACGGGGTTTGGGTCATTGGGGTTAAAAGCGGGGTTTGGGTCACTAGGGTTAAAACGGGGTTTGAGTCATTGGGGTTAAAAACGGGGTTTGGGTCATTGGGGTTAAGAACGGAGTTTGAATCATTGAGGTTAAAAACGGGGTTTGAGTGATTGGGGTTAAAAGCGGGGTTGGGGTCATTGGGGTTAAAAACGGGGTTTGCGTCACTGAGGTTAAAAACGGGGTTTGAGTCATTGCGGTTAAAACGGGGTTTGAGTCATTGGGGTAAAAATGGGGTTTGAGTCATTATATAGGCACATGTTTCCTCGGTCCGTCACTAGTACTTCATTTCCAGACATGGTTACACATGACAAAGACCTTTGATATGTAATTTCATACAATGGAGATGAGAGTACCGTATTTGCGATGCGAGTACCGATCTCTAATAGAAGCAAGGCTCTAATAGACGGATATATGGTCATCGTGATGCTCTTGAAATAAGCTTCACCCCCCAACATGTGAGTAAATATTAAGAAGGCAGCGTTGGAGACACGTGAGTAAATAAAGAAATGTAATCAGAAGGACGTGAAATGAGTTACCCCAATGACTCAAAGGCTTTTCTTGTTAGATAGGGCCTCCGATTGTTCCATGTTTCTGCCAGCCATCATGACGGATGTCATTGGGCACTACATGCATTACATCTATACGCTGTTTGTAAAGTCTCTTCATTAAGAGCAAGTACTCCGAGCACATCGATTATTTTACGAAAGACATTATATGTTGTAACGGGTCAGTTTCAAAGTTGCAACATTAAATTAACCAGAAATCTGTACCTGACTGAATTTGGTGAACAAAGAAATGTTATGCAATCACCAAATGTATTCTAAGTTTAAAAATCAATCCAAATTACTGCAATAACACAATAGAGTGGTAGTACAAACTTCAGTGGAAGTGAACTTGCAATGACTGCTACAAAATACATTAGGAGTGGCAAAATAATCATTGATAATAACACTGACTGAGCCACAACAGGCCTGGGCTGAATAAGCTTCGTGACAATAACGATCTACACAGTCTGCTGGTCTTTGTGTACTGTGAAGTGAATGAGTCCGGCACCTGCCTCATACACGTAAATCTTTCAGAAATGTCTTTACGAACCCGGTATAATTCAATTTCATGCTGTCCAAGAAGCTTCTAGGGCCTAGATTTTCGAAGCTCTCTTATCGCTAAGATAGTCGTAAGTTACTGTTAATGTATGGCACTTACGAGTATCCCGAGAAACACAACGTTCATAACGTCACGACCTATCGTTTCTCTATACTTTTTCATTAGCTTCCCAGCGGGCACATCAACGTTGTTTCAACGTTGAGAATAGGTTGGTCCTCAACGTTGAAATTAGATTGAAAATAGGTTGTATATGAAAGTTTTTTAGACGTAGATATCCGACGTGGAATCAACGTTGAAGTTTGACTTATTATCAACGTTGAAAAAAGGTTGTGTATGAAAGATTTGTAGACGTAGATATCCGAGTAAGAATCAACGTTGAAGTTTGAAATATTATTAACGTTGAAAATGGGTTGTTCCGTGGTTGTGTATGGGAGGTTTCTTTAGAAATCTAACGTAAACACATGGACATTCAACCAAGGTTACAATACTTGTATTTCGCTTTCCTGTAAATAAACTCGCATTTCAACTTAAAACTACACCACAGTAGCACCAAACTCATGCATCAAATTAAAATACCCCAAAAAGCTACCTGCAATAAACAGTGTTCAAACAGAATATTACAGCAAAATATTTACCTGATAAAATACTTGGTTAAAATTCCACATTCAATATAATGTTTATTTAAGCTTTATGTCATTTGGACGTATAATTCCAGTAAGAAGAAAAGAGTATTCCAAATTAAGAAAAACTATTTACTGTTGTATTGTTATCTTGAAAAGGTGGAAATTGTCCCGAGAAAAATTCTGTCTGAATTTCAGCTATTAGATAGACCGCTGAATAAACACAATGCAATTACTTTCACCATGAAAGGGATCCAAGATGACTATGAACTATACCTGAAGACAGCACATAAAACTTTTCACGTACAGACTGACAAAGGATAGCATGTCTTACGTTTCCACTCACGTTTACATTACACCATGCACAACCAAACAGGCTCACAACAAGCTCCAGTAATGTAGGAAGGTATAGTACAAACTGTGGTAAGGACATTGCTTTATCCAAGTAAGGTTCCATTGGCAAACACCACACCAGGATTTTTGTCTTTTTATGTCAGACAATAGTATGTACTTGATAAGAACTCAATATTATAAACACTCGTTTCCAGTTATGGTAAATGTGTTGACTCATTTTTGTTTATAAACAACATCGTAAAGCTGTAATACTGCTAAAACAAATATATATTCATGATTTAGTCACAATTGTACAATCGACTCTGCTTTTCACATTTCTTACGGATGTGGAAAGGGTTTTGTCGCTTCTATTGTATCCGACGCCCTGCTGTGAATGACAATAACTGGGACAGACAATAGAGGGAGTCGCATGTAAACAGATATTTCACGTGGAAAAACTGTCAGGACCGGACGATCCAGTGATTAACAGCATGAGCATCGATCTACGCAGTTAGGATACAATGGCATGTGTCAACCAAGCCAGCCTGACCACCCGATCCCGTTAGTCGCGTCTTACGACAAGCATGGGTTGCTGAACATTCATATAGAAATGTTGGACGTATATGGCGCTGAGCCGAAGTACCGAGGAGGTACAAATGATTGCTAAATACCCACTTTGTCAACACAAGTTCCATTTGCTTGTGTCCAGACTGACGATCCTGGAAAACAAAATATCGTCGCACTGGTTCCAAGAAAAGCTGTTGTATCGTTGCACGGTGAAGTGGTGGCAATGACGTCATTCCTCCAATAGGAAGTGGGCAGAGACGGGGCTGGAGAGCCGCAATGAGCTGATAGGAAAAAGATTGAGTTTTATAAACACACATAAAAACACACTGCTAGCAAAACGCTTTGTGTCTCTTCCGGAAGTATCAACAATTAGCGATCAAAGACCTCGAGAAATGTATACGAGGCTGTAACGTATAAGTTACGGGTGAGGAAGGAAGTCAGAACTGTCGTTGATGTTTCATAATTACTTGAACCGGGTCGTGATTCTCCTGATGGAGTTGCATCAATATTCTAGAGGCATTTATTAAGCCCGCTGTGTCAACAACAAATGAAGTGTCTTGGCCAAACACAAAAACATTTCTGCAGTTATCTATTCATATGTACTCAAAGACAAAAGTTATTGTGCCACACAATCAAAAAACAAGACATTACATGGGAAATAATTTTTCAAGGTAGGGCAACGACCAACAATCCATAAGAACGGCGCACCTGCCACATAGAAATGAGCTATAGGTGAGGTGAAATTGGGTTTAACGTCGTACTTAAAGGTCACATGCAACGTAAAACACAACTTTGCAGATTCTGATACCTTTCGGTATGGACATATCGAAACAAATCGTCAAAAATGCAAATTCAACTTATAAAGTTAAAAAATAACGCGATGAAAAAAAACGCGCGAAATCGTAGTTCAAACGTTTCACTAATTTTCCCCAGACTTTTCTGGGGAATACGGGTTTCAACAGCTGGCTGCGCTCATTGCACGTGCGCAAGTAAATAGGTTCGCGCAGCTTGGAAGCGGGTTGTCGGGTGAATACTCGGTGAAGGCTTTGCTGTGAGCTATTTTTCTAATGTTTTGTTGATATCTCACAGGCGCGACCTTTTTATATGTTATGACAGTAAATAAACTGTTTATTTCACCACACGTTCTTCTTACCGAGTCACTTTCTCAGTTCGATACTTAAAAGCAATGTCATTATTTAGCGTTGACAGAATTTCTAATTGTGATATAGATATGTCGTTGTCACAGACAAAACTCAATGTCTTGTTTTATTGACACCTGTGTGTCTGCCTGCCTGTCTGCTAATGACAATATTCAATACACAACTGCGATCACTGACCACATGCAATTTGAACTTAACACCAATCAGGCTATACACCATAAACAAAACGCATTGATTTATGGCCCGAGTTCGGTCTCTGTCACATTATGTTATTACACAGACAGGCAGGTGTGATACTTGAACACATGACATGTTATGATGTCTGTTGATTGCAAAATGTTATACACAAAAAATATCTCTACATATACACGCACAATGAGCCCTGAAGGCGGCATCTGCTAATGAACCAGCCGTTACACTTGAGTGCACACCCACCCGCTCTGACTGGGTTCGGTGTCCCGGCTGCTTCGTTTCGAGGGAGGTAAACCCAAGTACAAAATAGTGCACTTTTGATTTGCGATTATACGCTTATAATTTTGTTTATTTGTTTTTTCATACTCAGCAATGCATATTATATGTCATGAAGAAGTGATAATTGTGTTTTAATTATGTTTGATTTTTTGGTTGCATGTGACCTTTAAGAATATTTCGCTCATATGACGACGTGCATGGGTGTGTGTGTGTGTGTGGCTGCTTGTACTAGCCCAGACTTAAGCTGGTTTTATGGTGCGAGCTCACTGAAATAAGTTTAGCTTGAACACCCCACTCAGACACGTTATACTGACTCCGAGCCGACCAGTCCTTGTTTTACCCATTAATGCCTAGCACCATATTTTAAGATCTTTTGGTATGACGCGGCCTGGGATCGAACCAGCGACCTTCCGCTCTCCGGGTGGACGCTCTAATCACTGCACCACGGAGGCGGTGTACAAATGACCTATAACACAAACGGGGGATTCACAAGCAGGTTCACCCGGTCAGTAGCGAGTGTCTCCACCTTGTGCATTGATGCAGCTGTGGCGCCATGGCCTCTTTGAGGCCACTAAACGTCGATGAAAATCCTGGGGAAAGATCATTCCATATCTGAAGGAGGATTTGGCAGAGTTTTTCAGTATTCGAATAACGTCGTAACGGTCGCTCCATTTCATCCCAGATATTTTCAAAGGGAGACAAATCTTGCATTCCAGGGTTACAAATTAACATTTTTTAATTTGTTCCTATTAAGATACTGCTGTACAACTCGAGCAACGGAGATCTGGCGTTATCATCTTGAAACATCACTGCAAATCCGTTCTGTAGCAAAACCAAAGCAAACGGCCATTTGTCAAATCTCGTCTATTCACTTCACAGCATTCTAGTTCCCCTTAATCACATTCATTGGTGTCCTTGCTGCAGCTATTATCCCAACTCAGACCAAAACAATTCCCTTCCAGAACCTGGTGTAGCGTCTACCTGTCTGTGTGTAGACACGTGTTCTGCGTCAGATCTTTGCAGAAGGAAAACATGGAAAGAACATCCACGAAGATAACTCTTCTCCACTCACTCACTCCACCCAGTGTTGTATGCTCCACTTTAGACGTCAACGTCTATGTTCTTCAGTCACAATTGGCGGTCGGGCTTGGCGTCTTGCGTGAATGCCGTAGACGCGTACAATTCCTGCAGGTATATCTCTGTTGCCAGGTTTAGTAAGGCTGTAGGGCTGGAATCCGTGTCGCAGGTGCGTCCCAATTTTTCTCGAATATGTCATGCTTCTTGAAAATTTCGGGCAGTTCGAACAACAGCTTAATTGCGTTTCTTCGACCATTTTAAACAAACTCTTTCTTTGGTTCAAATCCAAAAATTCATTCACAATATTACGAATGAAATCAAATTCCTTTGAGTATACATTTTATCACTAGTTTTCCTTTTACGTCCTGTGAAATCAGTTACGGGAAATACTGAATATTCTCTGGCGTTAAGATCGGCCCTTGTTTTGGTTTCTGACGTATTACCAACAATGCAGATCAAGTGTCAAGCTATACTTGGAAATTGTTGAAGAAATCATAATAAATACTAGCTATAAAATGAAACTGCACAAAGCAAATCAAAATATATATTGGAACTAGATGTTTACTACAAACACAGATGTAAACATACAAATGTGTTGTGAAGTCTTTGGTTTCGGGATGGACACGTTCAACACGTTTGTGCATGTGCATCTCGACAAACTGCGTGGATCACATGAATGTGAAAAACTGCTGTCGATCTGGGAAGATTAATAATTTAGTGACTTTTGATAATACAAAAAATTAAACGGCTAATGAACCGCACACGAAGCCCGTGAGGCATTGTCTCAGGTGGCTGCGCATTTCCATTGAGACCGTAACACGATTTCAGCACTGATGAGTCGGTTGGTTGGTTGCTTAACGCCGCAGTCAGCAATATTTCAGCTATGGTGGCGGTCTGTAAATAATCGAGTCTGGAACAGACAATCCTGTGATCAACAACATGAGCATCGATCTACGCAATTGAGATACAAAAACATGTGTCAACAAAGTCAGCGAGCCTGACCACCCGATCCCGTTAGTCGCCCCTTACGACAGCCATTGGTTACTGAAGATCAATACTAACCCGGATCTTCACGGGTAGAACTGTTGAGAAGTTATCAGAACAACGATGGAGTTACCGATCGTGACGTACTCGTGTCACAACGCCAATAAGGACAGATGGATATGGGTGACAAATTTCAGGCACAGCTTCCAGTCTGCCGTGACAACTGTTCAGACCATTCCAAGACTTCGGCGTATCCACCCCAACACAATAAAGAGCTGCTTACGTCATTGTGGGATACGGCCAGCTCATACCGCCATACGACCTATCCTGACGCAACGTCGTCGAGAAAACTGTCAAAGGTGGTACCGAAATCATGTCCGTCAACCTCTGTTTGTGGATGACTGTTCTTTTCACAGGAAGTCCAGATTAAACAATGACGGACGTCAACGTGTCTACAGACGTCTTGGAGACGTTCAGTTCAATCTTGCGTAATGGAGAGGAATCGCTTTGGGGTGGCTCCATGGTGATTTGGAGTGGGCTGGGTGCACGTCAGAGAACCCTTTAGTTGTTTTTCAGGAGTCTGTGACAGGTGTCGACCACAGATATCAGATTCTCGGGCCAGTGGCAAATCCGGTTGTTCAACGTCACGACCCAGATGTGACATTTCAACTGGATAATGCCCTTCCTCACACAGCAAGGGTTGCTATGGCTTTTCTTCAACAGCACAATGTTCAAGTACTGCCTTGGCCTGACAATTCACCTTATCTCTCGCCATAGAGCATGTGTGGGATGGAATGGAGCGACGTGCATGATGTGTACCAAAACCTTGGTGATTTTGCAGCAGAGTTGCCGAGATTATGGTAAGCCATTCCACAAGGCTTCCATACCATTTTATAGACTCCACGCACTGCTGTTCTCGCTGGTGGGTACACCTGTTACTGAGCTTGTGACATTGTTGCTTGGCTTTTACCCCACATCTGGACTCTAAACGTTAATGTCACAGACATTAAATATGTTGTTCTGCTGTCTTCCTATTATGTCAATACCCACCTATTAAAGTTTACATGAAAACCTTTCACCGTTTTTTCAAATTTCGATAAAATTTTAACAATGCAGAGTCTCTTTTGTGGGGTGGCTAGTATAGATAATGTTGTGTTGGTACAAAATTAGCATGTGTTAAATAAACTTAAACTTAAATGAACTAACCTTCCATAATGTAGTATTTGTCCCCACTTGATCCCGTCCCCGTGGCTGTGTGAGTCTTGTAGGCTGCGTACATCTCACACTGGCCACTGTTGGCAACAAACCTCGCCCCGACACATCGGGAGTGTCGAAAACATCTACTGACACAATCCAAAGGCTCCGAGTTGTTCACTACAGAGATGGTGTCTGCAGTAGTAAAGTTGTCCGTTACATCCGCCAGATTAAAGAAAGTTTTACAGTCTTGAAGTCCAGAGACAAGACAAACTACCCCGATAAGAAATTCACAAATTATTGCTGTTATTTGCAATATCGTCATCGCGTTTTCTCTTTCGAAGCTGTTGACGTTAGTGTCAAAAGTTCTGTCGTAACACCTCCGTGTGGTTCACGAGTGTGTCGGTAGCAATGAAGTGTCTGAGCGCCTGGAAGATCGATACCGCTTCATTCCAATAACTATACCGGCCATGTTTTTTCAAACGTGTATTCAAAGGACGTGGCATGGCACTTCCTGCTCAAAGGATATGCATGAATCGGCAATTGCTCAGAGCGTGTACAACTCACAATGAGTGAGCGAGTACGCCGCCTTTACCAATATTCCAGTAATATAACGGCAGGGAACACTAGAAATGGGCTTCACTCATTGTACCCTTCGGCGTGACGAGCTAAACGCTTTAACCATTGGGCTACCTCGACGCTCCCAACGCACAATGAGCGATATTCCATGTGTTCTTACGAATGAACAAGACGCTTTGTACACTTCGAAAATGTGGATTTCCTACACTATATCTTACGCCACAGCTGAAATGTATCTCCTATATGAACATACACAAGTCGACACAGTAATCCTTATCAAATGGACAAAATATAGGTCTGTCTCTCTGCTTGTCTGTCTGTGGACTTCAGTAGCTCAAATTTTGAAGGGGCGGTGGGGTAGCCTAATGTGATGTTGCTGTAATATTGCTAAAAGCGGCGTAAAACCAAACTCAGTCAGTCAGTCAAATTTTGAAAATTTTCGAAAACTTGTCACGCTTTCCAGGTTTTCCTTGTTTATAATGGATCAACATCATTTTTGTTATACCCCGTCCTTAAAGTACAGGTTGTCAGGACGACTTTTGCCACAATGAATGTGACTAAACGTTATAAACTCTGATACAACCGCTACGGTCTTTCAGTGAAACTGTTGGAGGCTGTAAGAAACGTTTCTACTACCCGGTCCCTCGAGAAGTCTCGGGAGTCGTATGGTTGCCAACCTGGGCCCCGTTTCACAAAGCTCTCGTAAGCCTAAGATCTCATAACTTTTCTCGTAGCAATCCTACTTCCTATACTGTAACATTGACTTACGATAGTCGTAGCGCTACGAGAGCTTTCTGCCCTGCATTGCATCGTACCCGGAATAAGACTGTTGTGAAAAAGGACGGTGTTATCGAACACAATGAGTTTAGTCTTCAGAAATACTCCATGAATATTACAGCAGGGTACAACTGAGATGAGTTTGACCTGGGCCTCTATGGACCTGTAAATAAGGTAAAATATTGTTCCAGCAAAGACTCCTGACTGATGCATTTCTTGGAGTGCAGCCACTCGTAATAATTATGTATGTCGTACAAGGAGTGGCTTCAAGTTTGACTAAGTCAATTCTTCTATTCCCACTGTACACTGTGTCAACGCGTGGTGTACGCGTCAACTGGGAAATTAGCTCATAATTAAGATGATGTGTGCGTTGATGAAGACGAAGGCATAGTTGAGTTCAAACTTCTTTAGTACATGACAAACAAATACACAAGACATGAGCGAGATGAGCGGTGTACCTGCTCAACCCCAGGGCGTCTCCTACGAGCGGCATTATCCTGCTCGTGGCCGTCCCAACAGACAGTCCAAATACCGAACTCGTACTCCTTCACCTTCTCATTCCTGTCTACATGTGAGCATACTAAGTATATATACAGTTTTTGACAACAATGGACAGGCGACGACTCATCAATGGACAGACAGAAAAAAAAATAGCACTTCCTTGACCAGTTGATGTGATGGCAGACTCAGCCAAGGGGGATTACCAAAGAAGGTTATAAATGTTTTATACAATAATGAATTGGCTGACAAGTCAGTTTACAATGCGGTAGTGATAAGGATGTACAGTAGTGATTAAAAATACAGCTTAGCATCATATATATATTACAATGAAGTCTCACATGTCTTAAGTACATAGTTTTGGACTTTTTAAATATTTGGACGATGGCTGTCCTGAATTAGTCACTATAACAACTGCTATGGTACAAGTCAATGTACATGATCGTATTCAAATACAATATTCCTATATCCGATGGGCGTGTCACGTATGTTTGCTTCTTGCCGAGCCAAGGGGCCTTTCAACAAACTCATGTATCGCTTACACTTTTTCAGTTTTCTTTATAGAATTGTTTAAGACTATGGCAGCTACTCTGCTAGATGGTTTGAACAGATTTCCGGTAACGTCAAAGCAAAACATCTCATATACTCAGGAACAGAGCGTAACTGTGTAAACAAGCCCGTGGTGTTCCAAACAATGTGAGTGGTATCGCACCGGTGTAGTATGCTGCTCAAAAGAAGTTAAGGACAAGTCAATTATTTCATATTGATATAGTTATTTAGCTTGTAATCAAGTCCGTGGTGTTCCAAACAATGTGAGTGGTAACACGCTGGTGCAGTATGCTACTCCAAGAAGTTAAGGACCCGTCAATTATTTCATACTGATATATACTTCCCATCACGTTTAGACTCACTAATGTAAATATAGTCACTTACTTCAGGCAACTGTTCTAAACCAAATTTTGCAAAATATTCCATATTGTTTAAAGGTACTGTTTACACATGATCTGATGTATTGTAAAACAAACTCGTACAGTTGAAAAGAGTACTGTCATGAATTCAAGAAATGATAAAACTCAGTGACAATTGGCGAATTCTTAACAAAACTTTACGAAAACGCAGCTGGTCACATGCATGATATTTGCACATGCTTTTCAGCAAATTGATGCATGATCCTCGTGCAATTGATTTGCATAAGGTTTGCAGTTGGTTCCCTCAAGTTAGTGAAGAAATCAATCTTCGATGTAACCATATACATACACATAACACATAGTGACTGTTTTCAGTGAGTCTAAACTTTTGATGGGTAGTATGGTGAATCCGTCACTACAGTACCAGTCGATTGTACTGACATCGACATAAATATTGTAATTGTATAAACAATTCAATACTGACACCATCTCAGCTAAAACATATTTCTTTTGAAACTTCAAACTGCACGTTATTGATCCGTTGTATTGGTTAGGTATTGGATTTGGCATGAGGCTTGATGACATGCCCTGTTCTCTTCTGGAAATATTATGGTACGTTAACATTGTCTTTTCTCGTTCAAATCGCATTGTGCCCATTACCATTGTCTTATACTCCTTAACATTGTACTGAATACACTAGCGTTGTCTTATACTCCTTAACATTGTTTTGCACACATTGTCTTATACGCATTAAAATTGTTTTGCACACATTGTCTTATACGCATTAATATATTATTGCACACATTTGCGTTGTCTTATACTCCTTAACATTGTTTTGCACACAGTCTTATACGCATTAACATTGTATTGCATACGCATTAACATTGTATTGCATACATTAGCGTTGTCTTATACTCCTTAACATTGTTTTGCACACATTGTCTTATACGCATTAATATTGTATTGCACACATAAGCGTTGTCTTATACTCCTTAACATTGTTTTGCACACATTGTCTTATACGCATTAACATTGTATTGCACACATTAGCGTTGTCTTATACTCCTTAACATTGTATTGCACACATTAGAGGTATCTTATACTCATTAACATTGTTTTGCACGCATTAGCTTTGTCTTATTCCCGTTAACAAGAGTAAAAGTATGAAAAACGTAATGAGAAAATCCCTGAAAGAATATTTTTTAGGATGACAAAATACAGGATGAATGGTATATGACGTTTTTCATAAAACATATTATGTATGCAAACCTATGGAGATTACATTTCATTTGCATACTATAGCTTACATCAGAAACGTAAATTTTGACTTTCATGAAATTTCAAGGGTTAAAAGTGACACGATTTGCTCTCCTGTAAACCCATCAATTTTGGATGATTTTACAAAAGTGTTAAAAACAAAAGTTGGGAAAAACAACAGCCCAATTATCAGTCAAACTTTAGTTGTGTTCAAAACTACGAAATAAACACCCCAAAATATTTTACTTCTATTCTGTGAGTACTCGATCATCGCCTTTTCTCGTTAAACATTGAATTGCACACATTAGCATTGTCTTATACGTGTTAACATTGTATTGCACACATTAGCATTGTCTTACAGGCATTAACATTGTATTGCACACATTAGCATTGTCTTATACGTGTTAACATTGTATTGCACACATTAGCATTGTCTTACAGGCATTAACATTGTAGTGCACACATTAGCATTGTCTTACAGGCATTAACATTGTATTGCACACATTAGCATTGTCTTACAGGCATTAACATTGTATTGCACACATTAGCATTGTCTTATACGTGTTAACAATGTATTGCACACATTAGCATTGTCTTACACGTGTTAACATTGTACTGCATGCATTAGCATTGTCTTACAGGCATTAACATTGTATTGCACACATTAGCATTGTCGTTTACGTGTTAACATTGTATTGCACACATTAGCATTGTCAGGCATTAACATTGTATTGCACACATTAGCATTGTCTTATATGTGTTAACATTGTACTGCACACATTAGCATTGTTGTATACGTGTTAACATTGTATTGCACACATTAGCATTGTCTTACAGGCATTAACATTGTAGTGCACACATTAGCATTGTCTTACAGGCATTAACATTGTATTGCACACATTAACAGTGTCTTACAGGCATTAACATTATATTGCACACATTAGCATTGTCTTATACGTGTTAACATCGTATTGCACACATTAGCATTGTCTTATACGTGTTAACATTGTACTGCACACATTAGCATTGTCTTACACGTGTTAACATTGTACTGCATGCATTAGCATTGTCTTATATATGTTCACATTGTACTGCACACATTAGCATTGTTGTATATGTGTTAACATTATATTGCACACATTAGCATTGTCTTATACATGTTAACAATGTATTGCACACATTAGCATTGTTGTATACGTGTTAACATTATATTGCACACATTAGCATTGTCTTATACGTGTTAACAATGTATTGCACACATTAGCATTGTTGTATACGTGTTAACATTGTACTGCATACATTAGCATTGTCTTATACGTGTTAACATTGTACTGCATACATTAGCATTGTCTTATACGTGTTAACATTGTACTGCAAACATTAGCATTGTCTTATATATGTTCACATTGTACTGCACACATTAGCATTGTTGTATATGTGTTAACATTATATTGCACACATTAGCATTGTCTTATACATGTTAACAATGTATTGCACACATTAGCATTGTTGTATACGTGTTAACATTATATTGCACACATTAGCATTGTCTTATATGTGTTAACATTGTACTGCACACATTAGCATTGTTGTATAAGTGTTAACATTGTATTGCACACATTAGCATTGTCTTACAGGCATTAACATTGTAGTGCACACATTAGCATTGTCTTACAGGCATTAACATTGTATTGCACACATTAGCATTGTCTTACAGGCATTAACATTATATTGCACACATTAGCATTGTCTTATACGTGTTAACATCGTATTGCACACATTAGCATTGTCTTATACGTGTTAACATTGTACTGCACACATTAGCATTGTCTTACACGTGTTAACATTGTACTGCATGCATTAGCATTGTCTTATATATGTTCACATTGTACTGCACACATTAGCATTGTTGTATATGTGTTAACATTATATTGCACACATTAGCATTGTCTTATACGTGTTAACAATGTATTGCACACATTAGCATTGTCTTATAATGCAGTTAACATTATATTGCACACATTAGCATTGTCTTATAATGTTAACATTGTATTGCACACATTAGCATTGTTAACATTGTACTGCACATAGCATTGCATTAAACATTGTACTGCATACATTAGCATTGTCTTATACGTGTTAACATTGTACTGCATACATTAGCATTGTCTTATACGTGTTAACATTGTACTGCAAACATTAGCATTGTCTTATATATGTTCACATTGTACTGCACACATTAGCATTGTTGTATATGTGTTAACATTATATTGCACACATTAGCATTGTCTTATACGTGTTAACATTGTATTGCACACATTAGCATTGTCTTATACGTGTTAACATTATATTGCACACATTAGCATTGTCTTATACGTGTTAACATTGTATTGCACACATTAGCATTGTCTTATACGTGTTAACATTGTACTGCATACATTAGCATTGTCTTATACGTGTTAACATTGTACTGCACACATTAGCATTGTCTTATACATGTTAACATTGTACTGCATACATTAGCATTGTCTTATAAGGTTTACCTAGGAATGTGATCACTAACAGGATACATAGACAAGGCAGACTACTTCTCCTCGGAAGACTATGCACAAACTCATGTTTTTCTACCATGAAACATATAGTATGTTTCAGTATGTACTTAGCTTCAGTCAATGTTCCTAATACCAAACCTAGCACCAGCATCTGTGATACAATGATATCATCTCCTTGTAAATACAACCTTAATAAAAATGTCATTTTGATCTTTATCAGTACTGGAACATTCCTCTGCAAAACCTAATGGAGAAGACTGGTATGTGACGCAATATCCTTTTATGAGGAAAATCAGCAGAATCTCAGATTATTACTGAGAGAAGATCTGGTCAGATACAGGTCAACTCATGCAAAACTTAAGCTGCACATACTATGGAATTAGCACTAACATATCTTCATCTTACTGCATCCAGTACTCTCTTGAGATAGCTTCCAGACCAATTACATTTCAAGAATGTTCAAAATGTGGCAGACATGCTTTTGATTATGACAGACATGTACTTTTACACTGTATTATATACAGTATCATGAACAAATTGAGTTCTGTTCCACACTCATTGACAAACTGAATGTTGACAGTTACATTCAAATTGAACTTTTGGATGAAAATGAGATGCTTGCACTATTTTGGCATTCGGCTCAAACACTATCTGGAACTGTAAGCCAGACTACTTGGAAAAATGTAACACTATTATTCTGTAAACATGTACTTCATCTGAAAAATGTATTAGACGGTCCTCTCTTTTCATCTATGCAGCAGTCATTTGTGTACATATGTGATATCGACTATTGACTTATACAGCTTATGTCAGTATGTATATTCATGTACATATTAACATCATGTTGTGGTGTGTGGTCCTGTGGTGGTGTGTGGTCCTGTGTACAGAGCTCAGGTCACGAATCAGTTGAAGTTAAGCAATGTCATGCTCGGACAATCCTTGGATGGGTGACCTTGTTTGGCAGCTTGACTCCTGAGAGTTTCTAGGACTTCAGTCCTGCCCCACAACGAAGCACATGTGATACATGTGGTCTCACCTTAGACAAGTGAGTTTGTTCAAATTGCCTCTGTTCACCCAGCAGAAAATGGGTACCCAGTTGGATAAAGTCATGTGACTATAACCTTCTAGCGCCTAGCAGGCAGCTTGGGTTATCCGGGGAAATAAGAATCAGATTCTGATTAAGCGCCGCGAGCAATCACTTGGTGTTTGGAAACGTGCAATAGAAGATGACTTATTATTATTTTATGTATTTGCTCTGAGTAACATCAGGCATATTGTAAATCTTCGGATGTAGATTCTGGAGGAAATAAAGAAATTCCTTCATTCATTCATTCCTGCCAGGGAACATTATTGATGTCAGCTTCTTTATCATTTTTTCCCCACAGGCTTATTCACCTTCACATTGTATTGTCTACTGTTTACATCTGTTCTACCTATGCATTGCAATGTTCAAAATGCAATGTTTCCTCACAGAATAAGTGAATGCTGTCTGCATAGCAGTAACCCAGGTGAAACCAGAGGATGATTGCATGAGCAAAGATCCATACTGTCAGGTGTGATGTCAGGCAATGAGCAAGGTCATGTACACACTGTGACCACCCAATCCTCATCTGACTTGACCTGAGAGATTCTCATGGCCCAGACCCTATAATCAAGCATGACAGGTGACCTATTCTGTACTGTCATCATACTCAATAACAGAAGGCTCTCCATAGCAGTATCATATTGTAAGACCACAAACTTGGGTGAGTGTATTGTATTATTGTATTTTTTACTTACACCATTGCATCATATGTTTACTAAAATGAGAAGGGAAATATCATTGATGAATCTTTTATAACCTTTATCACACTGATAACAAAACAGACAAGTAAAAATATGTTACACAATTCTAATTCAACTTAGTATGTAACACGAGCTCTGATTGGTCAGTGCTATAAATTTCCGACCGTATAATCAGCATGTACGGTCGCAATTTGAAAACCGATTCACCGAAACCTTTGAATGTATCCCTGCACTATTGGGGTAACGCTGTTTCGCAGGACATTGTCATTTGTAGAAGCCATTGGTCAATTAACTCCCCTATCCAGCTAAAATGGGTGGAATTTGTGTTAAAAAAGACAAAACAGTATCATAAATTTAATTTTAAGTTCAAACAACTTACTCGCAACGGGCTGTTGACCCAACACTGTTAGATCATGAAACAAGGTTTATGACGTCATTATGGAGCGTGACGTCACCTGCTATGACGTCATTTGACAACAGAACTGATAATGGCCCGTACTTGAGGAATCAGCGAGCCGCTCATTTCTGTAACTAGAGGGCGGTTTCATCATAATACCTTCCATTTTATCTATAATACTATGATCTATTCATCATTGTCAAATTTAGTCTGTGTGCACATAATAAACGTGTGTAGTTTGAAAAGGGAACTACTTTCTCTGACGATGGTGTAAGTTGAAGGAGTGATATGATTAACCTTTGACCTAGAGGAACTTTGACCTGGTTTAAATAATGAATTTCTTTAACGAAAAACGAGTTGAATTAGAATGGGGATAACTGTACTGTGTTTGACGAAGTAAAATATGTTCAATGTTTGTCAGTCAACATCTGAGATTTAGCCATATCCCCGATGCAGCCTGAACCTGTGGCACAATCAGCCTTAAGAGTATTCTTCAGTCTATCACAAACGTCAGAGGCCTTCTCTTTGCTGTTCTCCAATTTAGCGATCCTAGATCCGAACTGGATGGCTCGTTTTGGTAGTACTGCTGTGGAGCATAGTCCAAGTCTGAGAGCCAGCAGTCGAAGAAGCAGCTTCTCCCCAACACCACGGGGCAGGGACAGATCAGCCTGGGGATGCAGAACAGAACAGTGAGTGGATGGGGTAACAATGTGCGGTGGGGACAGATCGGCCAGGGGTGCAGAACAGGACAGTGAGTGGATGTGGAACACTGAGGGGTAACAATGTGGGATGGGGACAGATCGGCCTGGGGTGCAGAACATGACAGTGAATGGATGGAGTAACAATGTGGGGTGGGGACAGATTGGCCTTGGGTGGAGAACAGGACAGTGAGTGAGTGTGGGTAACACTGTGGGTAACAATGTGTGGGGACAGATCGGGCCTGGCATGCAGAACATGACAGTGAGTGGATGGGGTAACAATGTGGGGTGGGGACAGATCTGGCCATTGGGTGCAGAACAGGACAGTGAGTGGATGTGGGGAACACTGTGGGGTAACAATGTGGGGAGTGGGGACAGATGTGGGGACAGATCGGGCCAGGGGTGCAGAACAGGACAGTGAGTGGGTGTGGGTAACAATGTGGGGTAACAATGTGGGGTGGGGACAGATCAGCCTGGGGTGCAGAACAGGACAGTGAGAGGGTGTGGGTAACACTGTGGGGTAACAATGTGGGTGGGGACAGATTAGCCTGGGGGTGCAGAACAGGACAGTGAGTGAGTGTGGGTAACACTGTGGGGTGGGGACAGATCGGCCTGGGGTGCAGAACAGGACAGTGAGTGGGTGTGGGTAACACTGTGGGGTAACAATGTGGGTGGGGGACAGATCGGCCTGGGGTGCAGAACATGACAGTGAATGGATGGGGACAGTAACAATGTGGGTGAGTGGGGACAGATCAGATCGCCTTGGGGTGCAGAACAGGACAGTGAGTGAGTGTGGGTAACACTGTAGGGTGGGGACAGATCGGTCTGGTATGCAGAACATGACAGTGAGTGGATGGGGTAACAATGTGGGGTGGGTACAGTTGGCCATTGGGTGCAGAACAGGACAGTGAGTGGATGTGGGGAACACTGTGGGGTAACAATGTGGGGTGGGGACAGATCGGCCAGGGGTGCAGAACAGGACAGTGAGTGGGTGTGGGTAACACTGTGGGGTAACAATGTGGGTGGGGACAGATCAGCCTGGGGTGCAGAACAGGACAGTGAGAGGGTGTGGGTAACACTGTGGGGTAACAATGTGGGGTGGGGACAGATTAGCCTGGGGTGCAGAACAGGACAGTGAGTGGGTGTGGGTAACACTGTGGGGTGGGGACAGATCGGCCAGGGGTGCAGAACAGGACAGTGAGTGGGTGTGGGTAACACTGTGGGGTAACAATGTGGGATGGGGGACAGATCGGCCTGGGGTGCAGAACATGACAGTGAATGGATGGAGTAACAATGTGGGGTGGGGACAGATTGGCCTGGGGTGCAGAACAGGACAGTGAGTGGGTGTGGGTAACACTGTAGGGTGGGGACAGATCGGCCTGGTATGCAGAACATGACAGTGAGTGGATGGGGTAACAATGTGGGGTGGGGACAGTTGGCCATTGGGTGCAGAACAGGACAGTGAGTGGATGTGGGGAACACTGTGGGGTAACAATGTGGGGTGGGGACAGGTCAGTCTGGGGTGCAGAAAATGACAGTGAATGGATGGAGTAACAATGTGGGGTGGGGACAGATCAGCCTGGGGTGCAGAACAGGACAGTGAGTGGGTGTGGTTAATACTGTGGGGTAACAAAGTGGGATGGGGACAGATCGGCCTGGGGTGCAGAACATGACAGTGAATGGATGGAGTAACAATGTGGGGTGGGGACAGATCAGCCTGGGGTGCAGAACAGGACAGTGAGAGGGTGTGGGTAACACTGTGGGGTAACAATGTAGGGTGGGGACAGATCGGCCTGGGGTGCAGAACATGACAGAGAGTGGGTGGAGTAACAATGTGGGGTGGGGACAGATCAGCTTGGGGTGTGTGTGTGTTTGTCATTTAATGTGCTTACCTTAGACAACATTTTGGATCACAAGCATCTGTTATTTGATGTGTTTACCTTCAAATGCATCGGAAGTCCAGCAATATACGCCACCACATCTTCGTCAAGAAAGGGAAAGCGAGATTCTCTCCCATGGTCACCAATGATTCTGGATGAGTCAATAATAATATATAAAGATTAAAATGATCAAAATAATAAAAAAAGCTTCAATGTAAAACTAACTTCATGAAACATGTGAACAATTCTAGTATGTCATGTGCCAAGGCTTGCCAGATGCCAAAATTATTCACTCAGTTCAGAAGCTTGTCAAAGTCATGGCCAGCTCACCTGTCATCCCTGCCCAGGTTGCGAGCCGAGATTCTCTTCATTTCCATGTCCACCTCATTGATGATGCCATGCCAACCGTGATCCCTAAAACAAGAAAGGAGAGGTTGGAAAAGGAACGCCAGTGTTTTACTGATATGTCTTTGTCTCTGTGTGTCTGTGCATGTCTCTCGTGTGTGTGCGCGTGCACACGTGCGTGTCTCTCTGTGTGTACTGTATTTCCTCTAATAAGTGCCTGGGCACTTATTAATTCAGCAAACTCTCAGACACAGCGCTTAATAAGGGCTGGCATTTATTGGAGACCCAGCGCTTAAAGTTTCTACGGAAGTATTATAGATTCTCCATTGGTATTTTATATGAAAACTCCATTGTAAACATGCGGCACACCCGGCACTTATTGGAGATCCGGCACTTAAATCTTACACCCCTTGCTTCTTGAAGGTCTTATAAGAGAACATACCGTGTTGTTTTTAGGGGTGCCTGTTAGTGTGTCCGTGTCTGTGTGTCTGTGTGTGTCTGTGACTGCATGTGTGTTTTTTGTAGGCACTGTGGAACCAACCTGAAGCGCACTCTGTGTCTGGAGTAGCCCACCAACTGTTCATCAGCTCCCATACCACACAGGATGACCTGCAAGACACATTACTCAATGTTTAGTGTAGGACGACCTGCAAAACGCATGTGACCCACTGTTTAGTGCAGGACGACCTGCAAGATGCATGTGACCCACTGTTTAGTGCAGGACGACCTGCAACACACGTGACCCAATGTTTGACACAGGATGACATGCAACACATGTGACCCACTGTTTGTGACCTGCAACACATGTGACGCACTGTTTGACACAGAATGACCTGCAACACATGTGACCCAATGTTTGACACAGAATGACCTGCAACACATGTGACCCCATGTTTTGACACAGAATGATCTGCAACACATGTGACCCCATGTTTGACACAGAATGACCTGCAACACATGTGACCCAATGTTTAGTGCAGAATGACCTGCAACACATGTGACCCCATGTTTAGTGCAGGATGATCTGCAACACATGTGACCCAATGTTTGACACAGAATGACCTGCAACATATGTGACCCCATGTTTAGTGCAGAATGACCTACAACACATGTGACCCAATGTTTAACACACAGAATCACCTGCAACACATGCGACCCAATATTTGACACAGAATGACCTGCAACACATGTGACCCAGTGTTTAGTGCAGGATGACCTGCAACACATGTGACCCAATGTTTAGTGCAGGATGACCTGCAACACATGTGACCCAATGTTTGACATAGAATGACCTGCAACACATGTGACCCAATGTTTGACACAGAATGACCTGCAACACATGTGACCCAATGTTTAGTGCAGGATGACCTGCAACACATGTGACCCAATGTTTAGTGTAGGACGACCTGCAACACATGTGACCCAATGTTTGACACAGAATGATCTGCAATACAGGTCACTCAACGCGTTACCCCAGGACAACCTGCAACACACTGTTCAAGACATGGACTAATACAATGTTTTTTTATACTAAACCCAAGCCGGCATTTAATATGACATAGTCATGACATTTCCATACCATCCATAATGTTGGTTAGATGATTATGTCACAACTTACTACATTTCAGCAGAGAAATATCATTATACAGTCAAGAGAATATCACTATGATCATTACCTTGGCATCAGATCTGTATTCTTGACCTTGACATTCTCCATTTCCCAGAATGCCCTGCCCTCGGGCAGCGAACCACACCGCACAGCCGATACTGTCATCTAGCACTGAGGTCAACGGGTACAGAAGGTGGCGGACATGTTGACTTCTGGAATGTCAACCAACAATATATAACATTTCTATTTATAATCATTCTTTGTGTAGCTTTCTTCTACCAATAGACATAATTATGACCTAATGCACTCCTGGAATGCCGTCCCATTGACATATAAAACCATATTACCACCATATAACATTCACCACATTTCAGCTAAAGCACCACTGTGACGTGTCATCATGACATCATAATGACATCATACTGATGGACTGCCATGATGTCATGGTTATGATGAGTGAGTTTATTTTTCCAACTCACTCACTCACTCAGTGAAAGAAGATGTCACAGTGACAGAAAGAAGATGTCATAGTGATGGAAAGAAGATGGGTGTGTTGGGGCGTGCTGTCCAGAGAGGTTAGAAACTTTGTGCCAGGTCTTCCACTTCAGATCACAGACTGTTGATTGATTGAGTTTAGTTTTACGCAATCTTAGCAATATTGGCAGGGACAACAGTAATGGGCTTCACACACTGTACCCATGTTGGGAATCAAACCCCGGTCTTCAGTGTGATGAGCGAACACTTTAACCACTAGGCTACCCACCATCAGTTGAAAGAACAAGAGAAAGTGGGTAACAAGACAAGATAAGCTTACAAATTTGATTACCGGAATTTCTGCAACTCAGACTGGGTAACATTCACCTGCAAGAATAATCGAATATGTCAAGTCCAGTCTAGTCTTAACAGACTTTTTGATTCTCGATAATGGTAGGCCAACAGACAATACTACATGAATAACAAGACATAAGCAGAGAGGCTGTACACACAGATTGTTTTCTAGTTGACACAGCAGGATAGATATACAGTTGAAAGTTACAATATCTCATCAAAGAAGCACATGTATCTACATTAGAATGAACAAAACAGGGTGTGTGTTTTCTTCTTATAGATGTATTTTTCTCCAGTTAAACGACTTCTTAGTAGGAGATATATCTTGATGTGCCATCAGTAATGATAAATTGATGGTAAACTTGTTCATAAGCTGATCTTCTTTGGAGCATAAGAGATTCAAATTAACAAGCGTATAATTCACCTCAGTTTACATACTTCAACAACATAATTGACCATTTCATGCAGTATCTGCAAACATGGAGTTCGCTGACCTCTACAAAGTTCCACTTCCTGCTTGGGTTCAGTTCTGAGAGAGCAACATATCCTGTTTGTCGATCAGGGACACTGAACCTGTCTAGAGGTATATCAGGCACTGGTCCACCTCTGAAACAAAAACATACACTGAAGACACTAGGGCTGCAACGAAAACACTATGTGGCGAATATGATACGTATAATGAATATTAGGTAACGAATACGAATGTTTATTCACGAATACAATATTGTAGTTAAGTGATTGATGTATAATATGGAATGCCCATGTTGACAGTTTTGATTTGTCACAGCAATAACCAGTTATCTGATGACACTCAAATTTGGTATGTAATAGTTGTAACTGACAGTACCATGTGTGGCCTTGGCAAACTAACATGACTTGGGCTACTGCAAGGCTAGTACATATCCCATTACTGCATATCTCACTTTCAAAAAGTACACAAGGGTTAAAGTAAAACATGCTCCCATAAAAAAACGTAAATATTCGTTAATATTCGGTTCTGGTGACCACGAATAACTAATTGAATTCATGAAGAACACCTTCGATTCACCTGAATATCACTGAAGACAGTGAATCGTTACACCTTAGAAGACACCTGTCTAACTTCACCTGAACACACTGAAGACACCTGTCTAACTTCACCTGAACACACTGAGGACACCTGTCTAACTTCACCTGAACACACTGAGGACACCTGTCTAACTTCACCTGAACACACTGAAGACACCTGTCTAACTTCACCTGAACACACTGAGGACACCTGTCTAACTTCACCTGAACACACTGAAGACACCTGTCTAACTTCACCTGAACACACTGAGGACACCTGTCTAACTTCACCTGAACACACTGAAGAACACCTGTCTAACTTCACCTGAACACACTGAAGACACCTGTCTAACTTCACCTGAACACACTGAAGACACCTGTCTAACTTCACCTGAACACACTGAAGACACCTGTCTAACTTCACCTGAACATACTGAAGACACCTGTCTAACTTCACCTGAACACACTTAAGACACCTGTCTAACTTCACCTGAACACACTTAAGACACCTGTCTAACTTCACCTGAACACACTGAATATATCTGCTTTCTTTTGAAAAGTCAGAAATGTTTTGCTTCATTTTTAAATAATGAAATTCACACATTCGAAATAGAACCGAAATCAAATACATGTATCTGGGGTAGAGCACACAAGACAAACTCACTTCTGTTTGCCCTTCTTGGAGGCAGGTGGCTGCTTGGGTACTTGCTCAAATGCTACATTAATGAGGTCGATACTTTCATCAGGAGGCAAACACCTGGAATCAGACAAAGAGTGTATTCCTATTTTAACAGAATTATGGAAACATAAAATTCAAGTAACTAAGAGATTTAAGAGGTAAAAGAGTCTAAATTAACCAATTAACGAGATGTTTTTGTCAAAACTTTGAGGATGTGGTTTGAATGAAGTTCAAACTGACATTGTGTAGACATTAACAATACCAACAGGTTTATAGGATGAGAATAATTTCAGTAATGCCATTAGACATTGTTCAGGCTTGTACATATTAAGAGCTGCTGTGTACCTGGACAACATTCCTCACCTGTCAGCCAGAGCTGCTAGCACTGTGGAATCTACTCCACCTGAAAACAAAATGGCCACTTTGGCTCTTTCCCCTGAAGTGTTTCCACCTTCAACCAGTCTTTGTCCATCAGCCTCTCCATCTCTCACCTCACACAGGTTCAGCCTCTCGACACCCTGCTCAATGGCTTGTTTACTCCCATCTGATAAATCTGTGATACATCTAGGTCGGGGCAGGTTATACACTCGTTTTTGAACAGACTTGAGTAACACATCCATTAACTGTTCTACAGCTTTTTTCATGACCTCGCTGTTGTCAAGGACATGTCCCATGTAGTCCTGATAACACTGTTTGGCACTCTCCTCAAGGGGAGATAATTCGTGTCCAGGGGAGGTAACTCCATATTAAGTGTTGGCATCCATGAATGCAGATGTAATTCAGAATCCAATTTTACATCAAAATATGTAGGTGTGGGATACAGTTTTTCTGTGAAATTATCAGCAATGACTGGCTCCATAGTTCCAGGCCACGTTCCTTGTTTCCATGGAAACACTGTCAACAAGGGGATGGGAGTTGCATCATCTCCATCTGAACAAGTCTTGGGTACACTCAGGTCTAGGCAGTACACACCCAAAGATGGCATTTCCTGGTAGTGCTGTACAGACATAAACTCATGTCAAATCACACACTTACAAACATGACTAGGTGAGCATAGTGCTGCATACAACACTATATAATAGATTGTCAGGTGAGGATGGATTGATTGATTGACTGTTTGTTGTTAAACACCCCACACAGCAATATTCCAGCTATATGGAGGAGATCTGTAAATACTCTGGACCAGACAATACAGTGATCAACAGCAGTGGCATCGATGTATGCAAGTGGGATATGATGTCATGTGTCAAGCAAGTCAGCAAACATGACCACCCGATCCCATTAGTCACCTCTTATATTAAAGACTTAAGTGAGCGAGTTTAGTTGTACACCACACTCAGGAATATTCAAGCTACATGGTGGAAGTCTGTAAACACTCTGAACCAGAAATTCTAGTGATCAACAGCATGAGCATCAATCTACACAATTGGGACATGATGTGTCAACCAAGTCAGCAAGCATGACCACCCAATCCTATTGGTCGCCTCTTACAACAAACAAGGGTTGCTGAAGACTAGTTCTAACCCCGATCTTCATGGGTATCTTGAGGATGGAGGAAAGAAGAGATGCAGTCTAAGGCATTTGGTAAAACCAGCTAGCTGACAACCTAAGAATTTGGGATGTGAACCTACAATCATAGGTTTCTGGCATGCCTAGGGGCCACAACTCTGCACAGCTCACAGCAAAACATAGCAGGAAGGGTCATTAACATAATCACATGTGATATTTGCTGTATCTCCATAAATATTTCTAAGAAAGAGCATCTGATACTGGATAGAACACATATTGTGTACAAAAAAACAACCGCACCAGCAATCAAAACAATCATGTATGAATAATATCAGTAATGTGAGTGAATTATGTATGTATGTAGAATGCAATATTTCTGCTGTATGACAGCAGTGTGTAAATAATCAGGTTTGGTTCAAGCACGCCAGTGACTGTAAGCAAGTGATGAACCTAGTCCTGAACGACCTGACAACCTGACCTGTTGTGGTTTCCTAGGATAGCAGGAAGTTTACTTCATGTGAAAGATAATCAATATGACCAATAAGAATTGAATGCATTGTCAGCAGTGTACACATTGTCATGTTTGAAGTAGAATTATCACTCACATGCGGGTGAATCTGTACAGATGACAAAACAAACGCATCATTGTCATTGTCAGGGAGATGCCACAACAGACTCCGACGTCCAAACACATCACGGCCAAACCACAGCTTGCTCTCGGAGGCCTGCATATAACATCAGTATAGATCTCTCATACCCAACAACATTTTTTAGTCAACACTTACAGCCCCAGGATACTGTCCCTACTGACATATTGGTGTGGTGACTCACAACTTATGTTTACAGACTTTCATCATGAAAAATAATTACATGGATGCATAAAAGTTTTACAATGCTATTGTCAATATTACGAAAGTATAAACAAACATCTAGCTTGGAAATTTGTACTGGCATTGGCTGTAAACTTCGAAAGGAATATCTGTCCATAACCCTGATATACTGACATATTAACCCCTGTGGTGACATAACTCAACTCTAGATTAACCCCTATGTTTAACAGGGAGCAGGTATTAACCCCTGATATTGTAACAGTGAGCAGGTAGATTAACTTCATCATGATATTGTAACAGTGAGCAGGTCTAGATTAACCCTGATATTGTAACAGGGAGGATGCAGTGAGCAAAGATTAACACCTTAAAATGCTATTGTCAGATATTATTGTACAGTGAGCTGATTAAACCTGTATAAACAAACATCCAGCTTGGAAATTTGTACTGGCATTGGCTGTAAACTTATTGTAACAGAATAGATTAACACCTGATATTGTAACAGAGAGCAGGTCTAGACATAACACTGATATTGTAACAGTGAGCAGGTCTAAATTAACCCCTGATATTGTAACAGAGAGCAGTGTAGATTAACCCCTGATATTGTAACAGTGAGCAGGTCTAGCTTAACCCCTGATATGGTAACAGTGAGCAGGTCTACTTTAACCTGATATTGTAACACACTGAACAGGTTTACATTAACCCAAAACTGTAACAGTGAGCATGTTTAGATTAACCCCTGATAATGTAACACACTGAGCAGGTCAAGATTAACCCCTGGTATTGTAACAATTGAACAGGTTGTGGTTAACCCCTGATATTGTAACTCAGACAACAGATCCTGATTAACCTGATTCTAACTCAGTGAGGTCAAGAATAACCCCAAATATTGCAATTTGGTGAACAGGTCAAGATTAACACGTTGACTGCCTTCTACGAGTATACTCGTATTATCAAATGTAACAGAATTTGCCACTACGAGTTATCTCGTAGCTACATAAGTGGTATTTTAACACAAATTTCACATGTTGGCAATATCGCAACAAGCAGCAATCGTCTCCTGGCGGTAACAAAGAACTACACAAAGTCAATACTCTGGTTAAGGAACTGTTTAATAACCAATTATACAGACATCACCCTGATAGACGGGAATCATTTTCAGGAGTTTACTCTGGGACATGGTATTTCTTGAAGTAATTATCCACACACAGGGCTGGTTTCTCTGGATGGACTTCACAAATGTAGCGTGTCTCAAGTCTCAGACCGGCCTTTGTGCATACGCGACAAGGTTTGGTTGGTCTCTGCTTATTCTCCGTGGGTGGCATGGTGATGGAATTCCTGAACCTCACCAACTCTTGGAGTGCTGCCATGAACCAGTTCAAAGGCTTCACCAAGAAGACCAATCGTCACTAGTTCTCGGAATCGCAGGAACTTCATTGGCTCCATGCGGTTTGCATTGCACATGATATAAGCATTCAAAAGTGACATCTCTAGGACGTGAAGGGTGATCTTCTTGTACCATCGGATCGTCTTCCATAGAGCTGAATAATAGGACAGCATTTGATCTGACCTGTCTATTCCAGACATGCCATGGTTGTAGTCCCAAACTGTGTTAGGTTTCCTTGACACTTTCTTATTCCTATTTGTGACATCAACCATCTCGATGTGGTGCATGTTGCTAATCGTGAGGATGTCACGTTTGTCCTTCCATTTACAGACAACCACAGATTCAGACCATTTCCATACATGTTCCCCCTTCATCAGTTTGTGCTTGACAACATCCTTGGGATTTCCTTTGTCGAGCGAAGCGTCCCACAAATGTAGGTTGACCTATCAGTCATCTGTTTCACAAGACTGACAGAATTGTAGTAGTTGTCTGCATACAAGGACATGTCCCTTGTCAAGACAGCCCTCCATCAGATTAAGAACAATAGCAGCAGACCTTACTCAGGCCAAGATCAACAGTCAGACCAACTCCACTGTATATTTGGACTTTCAACAAAAGACCTTAAGAGTTGTTAAGTTAGTAAAGTTGGATGCCATACTTATGAAGTTTTTTCCTTGATATACTGGTGGAATAGCAGTCTGGCTCGCCATAGTACCATGGACTCATCGATGGAGAGGTCCTTTCCAGGGTAATAGATGTTGTGCATTACATCATTGAAATGATCGACAACAGAGCGTACTTTGTACAGGCGATCATTGTTAGGTGTGTGATTGTCAGCAAAGTGCCAGAAATGCAGAAGAAATTGGAATCAATTTCGACTCATGATACCAGAGAAGAATGGCGATCTGTACATAACATTGGTACTCCAATAGTGCTCTATGGTAGGCAGGCTGTAGTGACCCATATGAAGCATCAAGGTAATGAACTGTTTCATTTCTGTGGCATCAGTATCCTTCCAGTCCTTGAGTCGCGACTCCTTTCACAGTGGTCTTACTTTGTTATTTCTGAGTTGGCCTGTCTGTTGGCTTCTGAGACCATGAGCCCGATCAATTCCTGAGTCAAGAAGAGATCAAAATAAGCACCAGGAGTATCGCCATGCACTTGAGCTTTTAGACTGGAGACTTCATTGAAGGGGATTCTGGAGGGTCTTGAGCAACATCAGACCACAAATGAATCGGTACCTGGTTATTTCTTCCTCCAATTTGTGCTCGATTTTGGGCAACCCTTCTCCTGGGGACGGCTCGGCCGGCAATGTGAGGACCCCTCTGATGTAGACCAAGACCACGCACTCGTCTAACAGAACCACAACCTCTTCCTGTATTTCCATGACCTCGTGGTATCCTGGTCCGTTCCCACGAAATTCATGACGACCACGTGGTGTCTGTCGTAATTCAGCATGAGGGACATCTTCATCATCCTCTATGACAGAATCATCACTACTTGAATCATCTGACATGTGCCAAAGAGTCTTCAGAACTAAGTTCCACTTCAATACTGTCACTTTCAGCATCACTATCCATCAAATTGTCAGCTACCTCATCAGCAGACATATGTTTACGTGCAATGTTCGGAAATAACAAAGGGAGGTTACTCTCAAATGAACTTTAGAAGTATAATTGATGCTGATGTAATAATCACATGATTCGAATCTGGCAACGGGTATTGAACGATGTTGTTACACTGCCTTCATACGACTCGTAGTGGGCAAACATTGTAGAAAGAAGATTTCACTTTGCCAAGCTACGAGTCGTAGGTTGGCAAAAGGAACCAACTCACTATTACCGTTTGCCAGATACGAGATAATACGAGACGTTCTTATTCCTTCAAAGTTGAAGAAAATCTGTTTGTTCCTATTTCAAAACGTTATATATTGATAGAGAAATAAAATGCATATGAAGTTTTGGTTTGGCCATGGGACGAAAAGAAATATTGTTCAGCGACAGTCACCGTGTTAACCCTTGATATTGGATCTAAATGAGCAGGTCTAGATTAACCCCAAAGATTGCAATTTGGTGAACAGGTCAAGATTAACCCTTGATATTGGATCTAAATGAGCAGGTCTAGATTAACCCCAAATATTGCAATTTGGTGAACAGGTCAAGATTAACCCTTGATATTGGATCTAAATGAGCAGGTCTAGATTAACCCCAAATATTGCAATTTGGTGAACAGGTCAAGATTAACCCTTGATATTGGATCTAAATGAGCAGGTCTAGATTAACCCCAAATATTGCAATTTGGTGAGCAGGTCTAGATTAACCCCAAATATTGCAACTCAATGAGGTCTAGATTAACCCCAAATATTGCAATTTGGTGAACAGGTCAAGATTAACCCTTGATATTGGATCTAACTGAGCAGGTCTAGATTAACCCCAAATATTGCAATTTGGTGAACAGGTCAAGATTAACCCTTGATATTGGATCTAAATGAGCAGGTCTAGATTAACCCCAAAGATTGCAACTCAGTGAGTTCTAGATTAACCCCAACTATTGCAACTTGGTGAACAGGTCAAGATTAACCCATGATATTGGAACTAAGTGAGCAGGTCTAGATTAACCCCAACTATTGCAACTTGGTGAACAGGTCAAGATTTACCCATGATATTGGATCTAAATGAGCAGGTCTAGATTAACCCCAAATATTGCAACTCACTGAGGTCTTGATTAACCCCAAATATTGCAATTTGGTGAACAGGTCAAGATTAACCCTTGATATTGCAACTCAAATGAGGTCTAGATTAACCCCAACAGGTCAAGATTAACCCTTGATATTGGATCTAAATGAGCAGGTCTAGATTAACCCCAGATATTGCAACTCAGTGAGGTCTAGATTAACCCCAGATTTTGCAACTCAGTGAGGTCTAGATTAACCCCAGATATTGCAACTCAGTGAGGTCTAGATTAACCCCAGATTTTGCAACTCAGTGAGGTCTAGATTAACCCCAGATTTTGCAACTCAGTGAGGTCTAGATTAACCCCAGATATTGCAACTCAGTGAGGTCTAGATTAACCCCAGATTTTGCAACTCAGTGAGGTCTAGATTAACCCCAGATTTTGCAACTCAGTGATTTTCTAATTAACCCCAGATGAACTCAGTGAGGTCTAGATTAACCCCAGATATTGCAACTCAGTGAGGTCTAGATTAACCCCAGATATTGCAACTCAGTGAGGTCTAGATTAACCCCAGATATTGCAACTCAGTGAGGTCTAGATTAACCCCAGATATTGCAACTCAGTGAGGTCTAGATTAACCCCAGATATTGCAACTCAGTGAGGTCTAGATTAACCCCAGATATTGCAACTCCTGCTCACCTGCCAGAAGATGAAGGACCAGGGTCCCTGGAGGCCAGCCATCAGGGTCAGGATGTCCTGGGTATCAGCAGTCTGGGTCAGGTGATCAAACAAAGCCTGGGTGTCGTTCTCCTCCTTCCCCATCTGGGCGAGAGAGTGAGTGAGTGAGTCAACATGCCTCAACCACACACAGCAACAAGAATAAGGAGTTTCAGTGGCATTGTCAGACTACAGCATTGTATTCAACCTTAACTGCTATGCTATCCTTCACTACATACAAGTTTCAATTACGCTAGTTAAAAGAACCATAGAATATTGAAACCAGTTCTGCAGATCCTTATTAAAGTTACAGTTCACAGACTGACATTATTATAACTCCATTGGATATTTATGGGACATGATCAGTGATAACAGATAAGAGGTTTTAACTGTCAATAAGTCATGCTTCTTGGAGGTGTGTATGTAAAGACTATAAATACAAACACTGCTCTGAAGCTATCCAAACCAATGGGATGGATCAACCAATCAGAACTCACCTCATATAATCTTTATCTTACAGCTATTTTTCATGAGCAGTTTTCATGAAACTAAAATAGCTTTGGCTTGATGGTTTTCAATTTTAGTCTAGGAAAACAGAACCACAAGAGTCTGTGGCTCGCCTGATGAACTTACAATTTTGTTCAAGTTCTACCATATTTTGGTATAAATATGAATAATGAATTCCAAGAACAATTGTTGCAAAAACATAAAACAGTATACATTTTTAAAACATTGTTTAGAATAAAGATGTTGAAAGAAAACCACGTTCTACGGATAGTCAACTTCTTTATTGCAATGAGTGTGACGTTGCAGCGTAGGAGTGAGGAGACCCATACTGACATATTTAAAACTGGACTTTGTATATGTGATACGTAATAGCTGGAATCATTATGAAATGTTACAGCTACTGGGACTTCGTTGTTTCAGAGAAAATGTTCAAAATGTTAAAAGTAGGACACCTACATGAATCAACAAACACCATACCACAACAAAAGCTCACAGTCAGGTGCCACTGCAGCCATATACATGTACAGTGAACCAGCATTTCAACGGGCTTTGGGTAGCCTAGCGGTTAAAGCGTTCGCTCATCATGCCGAAGGGCCGAGTTCGATTCAGCACATGGGTACAATATTTAAAGCACCATTTCTGGTGTCCCCCGTGATGATATTGCTGGAATATTGCTAAAAGCAGCATAAAACTACACTCACTCACTCAGTATTTCAATCTCCATTTAGATTTCAGTGGCAGCCACTAACTGGGTAATTAAATGATATAATAACAAAGGTTACTGACTTCCATTCCTCCAAAGACCTCTCCATTCCAGAGAAGGGTATTGCCCGTTTCATCTGTGACTGGTTGAGGCGTAGCACTTCCTCGCAGGTGAAGAACAAAGCCACCAAAAACAAGAGATCGGTCACTGGAAACACTGACAACATGGCTCCCTCTGTAGTCAGGGCCACGATTCTGTATACAGGAACTTTCTGTGATGCATTTCTGTGATAAAAGAAATAAGTAATAATTATTCTATCTGTCTCATAGTCCCTTAACCAAAGATGTTCTCTTGATCCAGCCTTTACAGTACAACCTTACATGGGACAAGTCTGGATGTTACACTGGTCCAGCCTATGCTCTATTGTGGCTATGCTCAATAATTAAGGCTTACATTCCATTTGACACAAAATGATACCGATGAATTGCAATCTAACACAAAAACAAATAGACATAAAAGAATCAAACCAATGCGGAGTGCAACAAAGACAACAGACCAACTCAAGAAAAAATATGCATAATTTTTGTCACAAAAATAAAAAAAGTTGTTTAAGAAACTGTCATCATTTATTTGCATGTTTTCCCAGTTTGTTACAAGGGCGCAGTGGCAACTAAAGGAACAGCGCGAAAAGCGAGATGCACGTGCATTAGTGACGTCAGAGACATGTGATTACTGCTGATTGACAAAGTGAGAGAAACTGAATTTGCTCCCAACGTAAAGTCTATAATTTACAAAGTCTATGAATTCTTCAAGGATGAAAATGACAGGCGGAGACCCAAGTATGCAATAACTAAGTACATACAGCGCACTGCCTGTGCAGTTGGGGTGTCATCTCGCCAGCTCAAAAATGTGTTGAGAACCCGAAATGGTGATTCTACAAGCGACGGCTTACATCAGGGGCGTGTCAAAATCTTTGAGAGTTAAGAAACTTGATTTATTTCACAGACAAATTGTTAAGAACGTTATCAGAGGATTTTATGCCCAAAATGAATTTGTTTCTTTGCATATTTTGCAGAAATAATCAAATCTAACAAAACTGCTCCTGTATATAAATTTGACCAGTTCCTTAGAGCTGAAGGTCATGACGTTTTGCGATTGCCACCATACAACTGTGATCTGAATCCCATTGAGCTTATCTGGGGTATTTTGAAGTCAGATGTTGGTAGGCAAACCACAACCTTCAAACTAAGTGACGTGCAACAGTTAGTGATTCAGTCCATGCTATATATTTCACAAGAGACTTGGCAAAAGTGCATAGAGAAGGTGGAGAGTGAGGTAGAGAACCAGTACTGGACACAAGTGGTTTAGACCATGCTACCATAAGGCCAGTTATAGTTAAGAGTGGACTCAGACAGCAGTGGTACCGAGTCAGATTTTGATTCAGATTCCCACTCTGAAGGGATTTGATCTGAAATCGTGTTGCCATTCTAGTCTTTTCCTCTGTCTTTTAAAATAAGTCTTGTCCAGCTTTATTCAATAAAAACATCCCTAAGAGAATGCCATCTGTCCAGTTTAATTCTAACGAAAACAAAGATGTATCAAAAGCACATATTCATAAATTCAAAATCACATTGTAGTTGTTCCAGTCTCTATTTCACCACAAGATTTGGACACAAACCCTCATCCACTTTTGCGTTAACGCACATGCATCTCACTTTTCGTGCTGTTCCTTTAGTTGCCTTGTAACAAACTGGAAAAATGCACTAATAAATTATGGCAGATTCTTAAACAAGTTTTTAATTTTTGTGACAAAATTATGCAGTTTTTTCTAGAGTTGGTCTGTTGTTTTCATTGCATTCTGTGTTGGTTTGATTCTTTTATGTCTATTTTTTTCTGTGTTAGATTGCAATTCATTGGTATCATTTTGTCTCAAACGGACTGTAAATGCAAAACACACAGATCATTTCTTTTGACTGAGCTGGTGCTGGGTTTTAGCGTCAAACATTTGAACTCCAGCTGGCAATGCTGCTATACTATAAGGCCTTTCTTCATGTTGCTGTGGTCACCAGCTGATAAGTCACTGTGAGGCCGAGTCTCTAGAATCTGTAGTTCCACGAGGTTGGTATAACACACAATGTTGTTTTTTCACAAAAGGATAACCTCAGCTGATTGCCTGATTTACATACTCTTCTCACAACAAACATTCTCCAAGCACAAGAACATTCAGAATATCTCCAAGCATAACTACTGCCAGTTTTTTACTTCCACTCAAAGGGCCCATTTCTGGTGACATTGCTGGAATGTTGCTAAGAACGGCATAAAACCAAACTCACTCACTCCACTCAAAGGTGTTCTTTAACTTTGCTCCAAGGCTGTATTACATGTTATACCATGCATTTACAGTAATTCTAGGTAACAGGTCAAAATGGCCACACAACAAAAATGGCCACACTGACTGAGCGATCATATTCATAGTCGTAAATTTCTTAATACCATGGAAAGCCATGACGCGAGGGTACTATTTGAGAATGAGAGAGCATGGGATGATGACAGCAGCATTCTGGCTACGCTCCACGGAGAAAGCCTGAAAGGACAGCTTGACAAGAGTGGCAATAAATATTCCTGTCACTTAAACCTTTATCTGGTGGTTGTAGAATTTGAACTTTAACTAATATTGTCCGCAACACATGTTACCAATCTCAGTCAGTGTTATGCCCTATACTACAGGGTACTGTGGCAAAAGATCCTAACTCAGTGTTGCGTCAGCCGCTGTGATGACGCTTAATAATTAATTGGCAACTTTGCCCAAAAAACCATAAATCACTTCTATCATACTGACAATAATTATAAAATTATTAAAATCTTACTAAAGTGGTTTCGTTCCCCTTTTGGAACACACAACATATTCCACACATGTTGCAAGACACAAATAATAGAGTTCTCTCCCTTGAAGAATATCAAAGGGACATAACCTGTGCTTTGTACTAGTTGTTTTACAACTCTCTTTAGCTAAACGAATTACTGGATATATCGTCTGGAATTTTTGCCATTTATGCCAACTCATTGTTCGTCAAATGCTATCTTGCAATCACACTTCTAGAACTATATTAACAATTATACAAGTTCTGACCATTTTGTTGTCGAAAATGGCTAACCCGTACCTTACATTTCCCGTCCTATCTGTACCAAATTTGGATCATCCTCACTTCATTTGATGACGATGTTTATGCAGAAGCATGTAAATGACACCACCACCACCGACCCTTATCATAATGTTCAAGCATAATTTTTATGCTTAAGGGAACGTTCATAATTTATGGCTGGGGGTGATGATGATTTTATGGAGAATCTCTCTCTCTCTCTCTCTCTCTCTCTCTCTCTCTCTCTCTCTCTCTCTCTCTCTCTCTCTCTCTCTCTCTCTCTCTCTCTCTCTCTCTCTCTCTCTCTCTCTCTCTCTCTCTCTCTCTCTCTCTCTCTCACACACACACACCAGCAATAAATTATGTACGGTCCCTAATATAATAATACTTTTATGTACAAAATTGCTGACCCCCATTTTGAATGTCTTGTGGTATCCAGAGGTGTTCCTTTTATAAAGCGAATTGATGTGTTGCACAGATGTCTGAATTTATGCAATTGTTACCTGATAAAACTTAATTATATCATACACCGCAGAATCTACAGTGTCAGAACAGAACTTTATTTGATATTTGTTTCAGGCCTAAATACTCAGTGCGTGACAGATACAAAGGTTTACACGGGGATTAAACACATCATGATAATATTACAGAATGTTTGCTTAGTTGTTTTTCGAGTGAATCTGAGCTCTCAATCACGTGACGTCCACTCTACACATTTTAATACTGTAGGTTGCTGTAAGTAATGTAGTCTTAGCGAAGGGAGGCAACTGCAGACATTTATGCCTGTAAACTTCCGCTTTTGGTACATTGAGCGAAAAACACGTCATATTCAGCACATTTTCCCAGGAATTACCTCCAAATACCAGCCTATTTTGTGTTAAAAATGACATCTTACCAGACTGTGGACTATCTGATGTACATCATGACAAAATTGAAAAGACTTCATTCGTACCTTTGAGAGGCAAATGTGACACTAATTTTTTTCACTGAGAATTTCACCTAACGTTTCAAAATGAACTGACCATCGATCTGAGCGTATGCACACTTCAGTGTTGAGAAGTTGCGTATGTGTATACAAAGAAGATAGACATCTTTTCAAATGAACAGGTAGGAGTGCATTTGTCAGCATCTCATCTGTTTAGTAGTGTTTACTGTAATTTCGTTCCAGGAGTGGGACTGTGTAGCAAGGTGACAAATCTCTTACATGTGACAGTAATGATATCAATGTGAACTAGTCACCCACAAACCACGACACAGCATGAATTAAGCAGAGGATGACATACTGTCAATCTGAGTGGTTACAGAGTAGGGTCAACATATTGAATAGGTTTTGATTTCCCACCTGGCCACACAGTTACAAGTGGACCATGTTGGTGCCTGTTGTATAATGCTGTGCATGCTTGTCTTCCATCATTAGATACACTCTTCCTACATTCTACGATGGCATGACACCACTGTCTGTTGTGGAGTGTAAACATTGAGTTAAAATTTGTTTCTTCTGTGAAATTTGCCATATCCATATGTTTTTATGCATTAGCTATAAAATTCTCATGATGGGATTCGAGCCATGAACCTTCTGATTCGAAGGTGTATGTCTTGTCCAAAGATGTTACCCATGTTAAGCTTGTTGGAAAGCAATGATTGTTTCATAAAATTTAGCTGCCCGAATTATAATGCATGATAAGAGTCACTTCTGTTTCATCTAAGCTTCATTGTTGCAAAATAATGGGAACATCATTTCATGAACACGTGTTAACAATGTATATTGGCTTTTTCAATATACACCTAAATTTGTAGGATTAAAGTCAGTATTTGGAGCGTTAATGATGGTCACCCATATTCTGTGCATCGAAGGTGGTTGATGAAGGCCATGAAGATGTTGACCAATGTTGTTAGAAAAGTTGCACTAGCTGACTCAGTTCCACTGCAGTTGTCAGTCTAGGTGTGCATATTGATTTGTACAAGGAATGTTCACAACCACTCAAGACTTTTGTGAAATTGGATTTACAGCCTCAAACGAAACAAATAAACCTAATATGATCTTATATGTTATAGGTTTATTAACGTGGCAGCTAGATAAATATATCAAGATGTGAAATCAAGACAGTCTAGGGCAGATTAGATTCCCAATATAATATATGTTCATCCATTTTTTGTCAGTTTTTTTTTTCTTGATATGTTTTGTGTTAAAATGTATGAATACAACCAAATGCCAGTGTTAATTATTGCTGGTCTAACAAACTCTTTCTTGTTGCAGTGGTACAGAGGTTTCCTGAAGCCAGGACAATGACTTGTAACTGGAGAAGCTGTATTGCCATCTCGGTCTTGGAAGGATTCAAACGGAAATATGACGCTGGTTCCTTCACCGACACAGAGATCGACATCCAGGGAACAATCTTCCGTTGTCATAAGGTGTTCCTGTCGGCCATATCCGACTACTTCCATGCCATGTTTTCCTCAGGCATGCGAGAAAGTCTGGATGGAAAAGTCACTCTTGAGGGCATCACTATTGAAACATTCCGAGATATACTAGATTTCTATTATGATGGTCAGGGAAACATTGTTTGCATTGATAATGTGGAGGAAATCCTTCGAGCAGCAACACTTTTACAAATGGGGTGCCTGCAAGCAAGATGTGAGGAATTTTATGTGGATCAGTTGTCTGTGGAAAATGCAATTGGAATATGGCAGCTAGCTAAATGTCTCAACTGTGAGTCCTTGAAGAAAAAGGCAATGGATTTTGTCCTGGAATATTTTGTGGAAGTCGGGAACCAAGAAGAGATCATAGGCTTGGAGTGCCCTGACCTCCAAGAGGTGCTCTCCAATGATGACCTCAAGGTTCCAAGTGAGGACATGGTTTGTGATATTGCCCTGCGTTGGGTTCAGCATGACTGGAAGAGAAGGAAAGGTTTCCTCAGAGACATCTGTAAAACTGTGCGGACGTCCCTTTTATCAGATGTCTGTTTACATAAACTTCTTACCCTAGCTGATCGCGTTGACGGAAGTGCCGATGGTGAAAACAATCTAACCATTGTTGATGAAGATATTTGCAACAAAGAAATGCATACATATGTCGATCTCAAGCAGTCCCAGAAGCCACGGAACTATGAAGAAGTGTTAGTAACAATTGGTGTGCGAGTGTCTGCAGGACTGTTGCCTTCTGTCAATGCTTACAGCTTCCTGGAGGGCAAGTGGTTTGCCCTTGAGCAACTCCCTCTGGATCCCGGGGCTGGTTTTGCAGTCTGTGCTTACAACAATCATATCTACATATCAGGACGGTATGGACGCAAGACTTACCTCCTAGACTACGATAGCAGCGTCGACCAGTGGCTTCACTGTCCCGAGATGCCAGACAATCGCTGCTACCATGAAATGGTTGCATCTAATGACTCTCTCTATGTTGTCGGAGGTTGCAACAAGCGAGAGGGAGCACTTGCCAGTGTGTATGTGTACAACATCTTGGAGAGGAAGTGGCATCAATTTAGTCACCTTCGGTTTGGTGTATATTCTACATCTTGTGCAGTCATCGGTAACAGTCTGTTTGTTTTTGGTGGACGTGGAATGGGTTCCAGACGCACACAGGAAGTTCAAGCTATGAATCTGACAAATGGAACAGCAACGATAGTTCATCTGTTCCCAACACCCATCACCGAAAGCCGAGCATTAAGGGATGGGGATGAAGCCTTTGTATGCACAACAAATGGAAGTGTCATGAAAATCTTTGAAGATGGTGCTGTGTTTAATGTTGCAAAAATGCCCAATTTTGACCGCTACAATTTTGGTGTTTTTCTGCACAGGGGATTGCTTGTTGTCACTGGAGGTGACACTCGCTACCCATCAGGCCTTGGTGCTTTCGATGACATGATCCAAGTGATAATTGATGATAAGGAGAAACTGTCAAAGGAAACCGTTGTCATGAGAGACAAACTGTACCCATTCGCAAGTGCTTTTGGCTGTCAGAAAATCATTCTCCACCGATCCTTTTTACGCCGCCCAGCCCTGTCAGATCCCCAGGGTGATGACACTGGCTAAGGGGACAAGTGCAGACAGTGACCGGAGTAGAGGGGGCTGCAAAGATTACACAGGGAATAGTAATCAAATGTAAATGTTGGAGTGGAAATCTATACACATCAGCAAGAAGATGAGTAATGACACAAATCATTGCAGAACTTGGTAAACAGCACAAAATCAGAGAGGTATGAATCAAAGGCCTAGGTCATTAAGGATCTGCCAGCAACATCGACCATTGGAAGATCAGTCAACAGTAAGGATCATTGAGGGATCAGACTATGTTACAAGTCATTTAGGGATCAGACTATGTTACAAGTCATTGAGGAATCAGTAAATATTACAGAGGATTAACTGATCTATCAAATAAATATATATTTGAGAAACCAGATGGAGAACATAGATGCATCCATCAAAGATACAGCCCACTGATGGTTTGGTCATAGTTACAGGTCATAGTGGAAGTGAGCTACAGAGAGCTGACTGTTGAAGGATCAGACCTGGCTGCAGACTAGGTGTCACATGAGACCACATCCATTTGCTTGTGAAGCTTTTTGATCACGATTCAATGAGTCTTTAGTTGATCCAAGTCAATGCTTAATTCAAAGACACCAATGAGAATATCTTTAATTGTTCCCTATCCCTGCATAGATACTCAGTTCTTGAGCACAGTCCCTGTATGATCCAGTATCCCCTGTTATATCACACCATCTAATGCTCACTTAGCTTCCTGTACAGTTTGCTTTCGAACACCACGCACACATCACCATAAGTTGTTAAAGTTTGTTACTATCACCATGCTTGACAGAAGTATGCTATGATGTCCAATCACTGTCATTCATGTGGTTGTTATGGTTACTAGTTTGCCTTGAACAAAGTGACTACTTGTCTTGAGTTCCAGATGAATATGTTGCAGTGGGTCAGTGGGTATTTCATATTGTGGACTTCAAGACTCCCGCTGGCATCATTTATTATGTTGATAGACACCATCTGTGCTCAGTCCGGTCAATGGAAGAATGGATTTTAATTTGGTGATGTTGAGGTCTTCAGATTGACATATGTTTTTGTGTGTATGAATGATGCATTGAATCAGCAAAGAGTGTTTTACACTCAGGTGGAATCACTCTGGCAGTGATTTTCAATCATTGCTCACATCCTTCTACCAGTGTTCATTGTGTGAAGATTCGTCTTGATGCATCTTGATATGATAAAGTGGTGTTGAGTGATGAAGTGCCGGTATATCATTCACACTTGTGTATGGTCATGTTATTTACTCAGTGAAGAGCAGTTCATTAAAATTAATAAAAATATATCAAAGTAACATTCACCCACTATTAATCCAAATGTCCACCATTTATTATTTATTCACCTTGACACATTCATGTTTTGATGTTTCAGTATTTAGCGAATATATTCAACACTTTCAATGCATATAAATGTTTCACACTTAAATATATATACATGTATTAGCCTGTTTTGAATTTATACTTTCTGCCAGTTCAGCATTGACATATATATTCATAATGGATGCAGGAAGGTATGGCACTGGCAACAAGTTTAACTAGCCTAGCTTCACATAATCTCATAGTTTTAAGTCGTCCATGATACACATTGAGGATGTCTTGTTATTGTACAAAGGGACCATTCATAATTTATGGCTAGGGGGGTGATGGTGATTTTTGTGGAGAAACATGTTCGATGTGAATGGACACCCCCCCCCCCCAAATTTATGTACAAAGTAAGTGACCCCCCTGCATGTCGTACAAAATCAATGACACCCACCCTTCCCATAATTTGTAAGCATAATTTTTTAATATTTTGATGTACATATTTGATGACCACCCCACTTCCCTAGATCACAATGACCCCCCTTAAATTCATCATCACCCTTCATGTCCTAAATTCAGCATGTTGCTGATACCAAGAACTGCAGCTAACTTTCTGACAGTTGCCAAATGTGCAGTGTTGACAAGTTCAGTGATTTAGATGGAAACTTGTCATGTTATCAGGACACCGTTCATCTGAGATGCTGCATATCTGCTATGCAGAGTTCTGGCCCTTAGTAGCACCTGGATCAGCTGGCTATGATTTTTGGTTTAGAACACCATATAACAATGGTAAACAAAGGTCTCTTTAAGCTTCCCTAAAACATCACTATGACATGTGGATATACATATATGAAATACTTTTCAATAAGTCTTTAGTCTGTCTTGAGTAGGTGTTCTAGTCTTCTTGGATCCTGTTCTTATTGACACTTGCATATGTTCATGATATAACTTTCAGTATTCTCCTTGTCCCATATCCACACTATGACATGCTGGTATTGAAATGTTAGTGAATACAAATGCTAGGTTTGCTTTCCTATCACGATCCAGAGGTCCTTAGTTCAAATAGTCAGCAACATCAGCTGATCATCAGCCGCAACTCATGGATAGGGTGGTCAGTCTGAATGGTTTTTAGTGTGAGAATTTATGGCTTTGAAGTAACAGAGGTAGTATTCTTTGAAATACTTGCAAGGATAATTGGTGTTTGATATTTGTACATGCTGTAGCTAACAATTCCTCTTCTAGTTCTTGGTCTTTCAACTCCAGATCCTCTTCACTTGGAAGTGGTAAATGTCTTAAAGGTACTTCAGCCCTTCAGCTCATTGTTAGTGTTCTCTGATATTCTAACTGAAATACTTTGATATATATATTTATTTTACCGGCTAATGATGATGATGTTTCTCTGTCAGCCACATGTATAGCAACGAAGTAAGATTCAGTTCAGATTCAAGTTTTAGTTTTGCCACATTTCATACAGTTAGGTATTATTCTAATGTTGCTAGAAATCCTTTCATAGAAACTGTTTGTATAAGGGTGCGAAAATGTCATCTTTTCAGAAACAAACATTGAAGGGTAAATTTATCAAGATAATTAATGAATGTTCACAGTGCTATGACTAAAGTCTCAACACTTCTAAAGACAGTTTACCCTTGAGATATTAACTTTATGAATGTAAAACGTTACTGAAATTTAGGTACAGTGAAATCCTGTAAGTTTGGACAAATCACTTCCCAGCAAAACCATTCACATTTCTGCATTAAGAAATGGGTACAAAGTACTATCCTTGATTTTAAATACAGACAATAACTCTCTGGCCTCAGGGTTTCAACAGAGTTAAACAAGCCTTCACTGTTAGTGTCGAACACTTGGTCAAACATAGTTGGGATTTTTTTTAAATTCCTTGTTCTGGTCAGTTTCAGCATTAATGATGTACTTAATCCATACACTGGTATCAAAATCAAAAGTCCAAGTTAAAAAGGTTTGGGATATTCTGTTATTTTTTATACCAAACCAAATGTCTGTTTTTGTGAATTTGTCGTGTTGATTTCATCATTATTACATGACCTTGCAGGAGGTAATGACTTTGTATTACATATTACACATGTTACATAGTTGCACTGTCATGATATATTAGCACTGGCTGCTACTGTATATATGGACTGTATGTTATAACCTGTATGTTATAACCTGTATATCGCCACCTTGTCTACAGGGTAGTACAGATTCCTGTCTGAGGGTACATTTCTGAAAGGTAGATGATTTAGATGGTAACGACTTCTGTATCTACCAGTTCATCATCTTCACGGACCACATTTTTTCAGATAATGTTTTGTGGAGTGTTCAGTAACACCGTGTTTATGTCATAACTATGTAATCATGATTATGTTTTTTATCAAAACGTGCAGGTGTACAAACTGCAGAAGTAGAAAAAACAAAACACTATGCTTTTAACACGTATGTGTTCTTTGGAAAATGGACTTTTTCTGTGAATGTGTCTACCTTACGCTTTGTTTGTTTGACGTTTTATTTTATTTTTCTGTCTTTTGATATGAAGATAAGAATCTTGGTTGGTTGAGCCAATGAAAATCATGAAGAACTCATTTCCTTATTCTGTAGCTCACAGTCACTGATTTCAATTTGCAAAAATACATGTTGTATCTCCAGCTGGCCTGGCAACAGTGTTGAACAAAATCTGAAAATACTTCACTTGCACTTCTCTAGATTTCTTCCCTGTTCCCCTCAATGTTCTGCTTCCCTCCTTCTCTCAGCAGATATGGTCATAGTGTAATAATCAGTTGTTAGTCTGGTCTGGTGTTACATGGAAAAATATAACAATCTGTAAATCTAAAGCTTTCAGCTTTTTTTATGATAGTGGATTTCTTGTGACATTTTGTAATGTTTGCACAGCATAATGTTTTTCTGATGCCTTTAATGCATTGTGATGAGGTAATTCTGCATACAGTCACATGAATACATCATCCAAATAGTGTATGTATATTTCATATGCACGATGTAAAACATTTTCTGTCCGCATAGAATAACTTCAGGTGACTTTAAAGCATATGTACTTTGAAGATCGACCTCAGTTCCTAGGCTTATCAGTTCCTGTGCTTGTCATCGGTTCCTCTGTGCTTGTCATCAGTGCATGGCTTGCTGCAGTGGACGACCAAGTCACAGTGGTCACCCCTATTATCTTTGTGTAACATATCTTTGAATATTTGTTTTTCTCTATGACAAATTTGTATTGGTTCATATCTACTTCATTCCTATAATGAACATGTCTTGATATGTTTAAGACGTTTCAAAATGTACTACTCAAAGGACGTTAAAGACGACCTGCTTCCTTCATGTTAGTATAGTTGATCAGTCATTACATGTGGTCTTTTTTCATATCACTGTAGTTAATTTGTCATACCTGTAATGCCATGGCAGATAAACTACAGAAATATGAAAGAATTATATTGGTCCTTAAGTTCTTTTGAGGAGTATTCATATTAGCCAAAATGTGGGCATGACACTGTATTGCCATGGTTATCTCCCTTTGTATTACTGATATTGATTGTTATATGACTAGTCCTACAAGAGGTTACATTTTCCCTTGATAATAATGTGATATGTATATTATCTGTTGATATTGTGTGAGATGTGTGTGTGGTTCCTGATGTGTTACTGTGTGTGAGATGTAGAGGACTGTATTCTCTAGGGTGATGTGCGACGTGGGAAACCAGTGCTATAGTTGTGCATACCAGGAGACTTCCTCTGTGGCAGGCACCACAAAGTTGATTTGAATCATGCAAATTTGATAGGCCAAAGTGAGCCTTATTGTTTTGTGGACAAAAACCTATTTTCTGTACAAGTCACTGACAGTTCAAACAAACTGACCTGCTAAGCGAGATTTGTGAAGAAGGAACACCTTGTAGGGGAGCCCTTCTCTATGAGTGGTTAGGGAGCAAGTACGGTTCTACAAACTGCAAAGTGCAGTGGATTGGTGGAAGACGATTTTTTAGGAGCGGAAGTGAATCTCAGCAAAGACTATTTCTATCAACAGAAGAAATCTGTTTCAGGCACCCCATGACTCTATTGATCTACTGTTACATCTTCCATTATCCAGTGTATCATGTCTCCATCATATTGTGACCAACACCATTAATCCATTCAACATTAACACGATCTCTCCTGCAACACAGGGCAGAGTTTTCTCTCTCGTGCAAGTTATCGGATTGGATGTCTGTTCTTAGTTTATTGCCATTAGGCCACTACCCTGTTCAACAATATAACTTTAGTCCTACTACTGTCATATGTCTTTGTTGAAGTCAGGGAGCTGTAATTACTTTAGCAGTATGATCACTGCATGGGTCAGGGCCCAGGCTAACAATGTGGCTATGGTAGCGAAAGGGTACAGGGTAGCTTCATTCTAATACCAAGGAGATGTTATACACTAGATGAAATAGAGAATGACTAGTCCCCTACAGAATGAGACAAAGCAGTGGGAGCTCCAACTGATGTCTACATCATGGAAGTTTAGATGTTCCTTTTGATGATCAATGATGTTCCTGTTGTGTGGAATGAAATAGAAATATATCCAGTAACTGATTTCAGACATCTTCCTCAGTTAACCTCCTTCCCAACAAAATATTGATATCTTAGTTGTAGATTTTTCCAAGGTACAGCTTTCTTAGCTTTGGTCACAATAACAGTGCATATACATTTTGCTGAAGTAAATGTCAGGATTCTACATATAGTCCAGCTTCAAATCTTAACCCTTCAGATCCGGGTTAGAATCTTCAGTAACCCATGCTTGTCGTTAGAGGTGACTAACGGGATCAGGTGGTCAGGCTTGCTGACTTGGTCAACACATGTCATCGTATCCTAATGCATAGATCGATGCTCATGCAGTTTATCGCTGGATTGTCTGGTCTATACTCGATTATTTATAGACCACTGCCATATAGCTCGAATGTTGCTGAGTGCTGTGTAAAACAAATCTCACTCACTTAACCCTTCAAAAAACATTCCGCCATCTTTGCACTGGGTCACTCATTTATGAAACTAGTTGTATTTAATCCCATGATTGTATTATTGTGTTAAAATGCCTGTGAAGACTTTCAGCAGATTAGCATTAAGTAATCTTTGTTTTCATGTCTGGACTGCACTGATAGTGTAATGGTAAAGTTTGCTCACTAATGTCAATGGATCTCTCTGGTTAAAGGTAGAAGGGATTTGATTCAATACTCATGTTTACAACAGTATTGGTGTGTAATTAAAAACACAAGATGGGTGTTTTTAAATGAAAATCAAATGTTCACATGGAGGCAAAACATTGTTGTTTAATAACAATTTGTGAACTTGTATGGAAAAGCATGACATTTATAGCACAAGGTAACAAGTTAATCTATGACAGAAACCCAGGTTATTTGTTGATCATCAATCATGTGACCTTAGTGATCATCAAATGGTCATTTGAATCATAAAGGATATTCTCTGGATCACCAAAGATGTTGCATTGATCATCTAGTATATATTATTTGATCCTCACATCTATTTTGTTTAATTATCAAAAGATGGTCATATTTGGTAATCAAGGAGGTTCTTTTTCATTAGGGATGTTCATTAGATCATCAGAGGTTTTGTTATTTGATAATTGACAATGTTCTGTTTCATATTTAAGGATGTTCTTTTTGGATTTTTTGTAATTGAGGATCTCCTTTTTTGGTAATGAAGAATGTTCTTATCTGATGAGTGATGACCTTATTTGAATATGAAGGATCCCTCATCAGGGGTGTTATTTGATAATCATGGCAAGTCTAGATTGATCATCATGGCAAGTCTAGATTGATCATCATGGCCAGTCTAGATTGATCATCATGGCCAGTCTAGATTGATCATCATATATCAGTGATGTTCTTGATTGTTCATCAGTGATGTTCTTGATTGTTCATCAGTGATGTTCTTGATTGTTCATCAGTGATGTTCTTGGCTGATCACCAATGATGTTCTTGATTGATGTTCAGGGATGTTCTTGATTGTTTATCAGTTATGTCCTTGATTGTTCATCAGTGATGTTCTTGGCTGATCACCAAGGATGTTCTTGGCTGATCACCAAGGATGTTCTTGATTGTTCATCAGTGATGTTCTTGGCTGATCACCAAGGATGTTCTTGACTGATGTTCAGGGATGTTCTTGATTGTTTATCAGTAATGTCCTTCATTGTTCATCAGTGATGTTCTTGATTGTTCATCAGTGATGTTCTTGATTGATCATCAGTGATGTTCTTGATTGATCATCAAGGATGTTCTTGGCTGATCACCAAGGATGTTCTTGATTGATGTTCAGGGATGTTCTTGATTGTTCATCAGTGATGTTCTTGATTGATCATCAGTGATGTTCTTGATTGATCATCAAGGATGGTCTTGATTGATCATCAAGGATGGTCTTGATTGTTCATGAGTGGTGTTGCTATTTTATTATTAGGGACATTTTGACTGATTATCAGAGATGTTCTTATTCGAAAAATCAGGATTGTTTTTTATTTCATCGTTGAGGATGTTTTTTCATTGTCATGGAGGGTGTAGTCACTGGTCATCAATGATGTTCTAATTGATATTTAAGGATGTTCTTTTTTATCTAAGGTGTCCTCATTTTATTATGAAGTGATGTCCATATACATCAGAAAGGATATAAGGACCGCATGTTGGTCATAAGGAACAATAGTATTGACTTGTCAAGCACATTCATCATGAATGTCAAGAATGGTATTAACAATGGTCTTTTATACTGTGACATCTTTTGGCACTATTTTAAAATCAAGAGCCAATCATTGAAAGAGAAAGTCTGGACAAACAAAATATCTTTGGTAAAAAAAATCCCATAGAAGTTTAATATTCTGTCATGAGGTCAAATGCTATGAGCTTCAGAGTTAGAACATGAGTGTGTGAAAATGGAAATTGTGGCAGGAGAAATGACATAGTATGAAAGAGTTCCGAAGCACATCGTATGAGAATGTACAGCATCACATTAAAACTTGTCTTCAACAAGAGTCTGTTCTCATTTTTATTGTATATGTCTACATGTCAAGGTTGATACAGGCGATAAACCTAAACACACCCGACTTCTAGCAGGTGTCTGTCAATGGCCTGTTCCAGAAGGGAATCCGAATGGAGGGGCACAGGTGATAGATGTAGAAAGCAGATCCACCATGCAGTTACTACTCAAGCCAGGACATTAACAGGTGGTAATTAGACTTGTGAGCCATGCTGTCAACTCTCAAGCCCTGAGTCAGACCTCTACCACACTACACAGGCTGGAGACTAGCGATCCATGCTGTCAGCTCTCAAGCCCTGAGTCAGACCTCTACCACACTACACAGACTGGAGACTAGCGATCCATGCTGTCAAGCCAGGACATTAACAGGTGGTCAGCTCTCAGGCCACTGAGTCAGACCTCTAGCCATGCACTCTCAAGCCCTGAGTCACACACACTACTGGCTGCAGACTAGGGAGCCATGCTGTCAGCTGTCAAGCCCTGAGTCAGACTTCTACCACACTACACAGACTGGAGGCTTGTGAGCCATGCTGTCAGCTCTCAAGCCCTGAGTCAGACCTCTACCACACTACACAGACTGGAGACTTGTGAGCCATGCTGTCAGCTCTCAAGCCCTGAGTCAGACCTCTACCACACTACACAGACTGGAGACTGGAGTCCATGCTGTCAGCCATGCCCTGTCAGCTCTCAAGCCCTGAGCCAGAACCTCAAGCCCTGAGTCAGACACTCTACCACACTACACAGACTGGACCTAGTGATCCATGCTGTCAAGCCAGGACATTAACAGGTGGTGTCCTGGTCAGGTCTCAAGCCCTGAGTCAGACCCAGACACTACACAGACTCAAGACTTGACTGCTGTGAGCTCTCAAGCCCTGAGTCAGACCTGCTACCACACTACACAGACTAGAGACTCAGCCATGCTGTCAACTCTCAAGTCCTGAGTCAGACTCTCTACCACACTACACAGACTGGAGACTGGCTGACCTGTCAGCTCAAGCCCTGAGTCAGACCTCTACCACACTACACAGGCTGGAGACTAGGAGCCATGCTGTCAACTCTCAAGCCCTGCTCTCACACTACACAGACCCTGTGCTGTCCAGACATTAACACCCCTACAGGACACAGACACTACACAGACTCGAGACTTGTGAGCCATGCTGTGAGCTCTCAAGCCCTGAGTCAGACCTCTACCACACTACACAGACTAGAGACTAGTGAGCCATGCTGTCAGCTCTCCTGAGTCAGACCTCAAACACAGAATCAGAGACAACTCTATGAGCCATGGTCAGCTCTCCCATTCTCAAACACAGAATTTACAGCTATGAATGGGTCTTTAAAGCTTGCTCTTAAGTACATTAGATACACATGGACTCACGACACCAACCAAATATTTCAATTAAACTTTATTAATGCACACTGGTTAGTGTATCAGACAATGTACATCTTAGATGAAAGTTTACATGAACGAAGCTGACTGTTCAGTACGATTACAAAGTCTCACAGTTGATGGTGCACATTGTTCCAGCATCAGTATCTAAAAGGACAGTCACGGGATGTTCCTTGCTCAATTATTGACCACCAATCTCATTGGAAAAAAGACGTTATTCATTGGAAAGCCGTTTAGCCGGAAACTTCACCTCCCGGATGATACTCACGAAATACATACGACATAAAATGCACCATGGATCCGGAAAATCGGGTTCCGGATCAGGACGGTGAATTTCAACAACGGACAGAACCATATTAACACTGCTGTATCCCACCTACCGGACTCCGACCTATATATCTATGTATATATCACGTCAACAGTTTTACAGTAGTATCATACAATCTCATATTTTGGTTGTATTAATATTATCGTATTTTTACACTAAACAATAATACGCAAACACGGATATAAGAAATATGTGAGGAAAAGCAAACATGCTCTTATGTTTCTGAATAATTACATTTACAGCTGATGTTTTTCCTTCTTCCTTCCGTCTCATGTACAGCAAAGTCCGGGTGATTGGCTTCCGGTTAGGGTTTTATGTCTGTTTTCGGTATGCACTCCCCATTAAAACACACCTGAAACAAAGAACGTATTCACTTTGGAGGCATGTTCCATTTTATGCATACAAACTGTCACCTATTCATCAGGAAATGATGAAGCCATCGGCTGAAAAAGATAGCAACTCTGTTATGAGCTAATTAAGATAACAAAACGTTTTGGAGATATACGCGAACTACTGACACGAAATAGGCTGAACATGAATAACGTTCTGTGCTGCCAAAGAAGATAAAAAGGACAAATAAGAGATGTGTTGATCAAGAAAATAATGTTTTGAACATAATGCCTTTAATGGTCACTATTAAGATTACTCAGAATGGTACCCGGATGTTTATTGATAGCAGGAGGATCTTTAACTACTTCCGTCTACAAGCCCGAGCGACCTGTGTTCACTTTATCGAAGGTTTACGGTAATTTCGAATTATTTGTTCATATTTCTCTGAATGAAACTTCTAACCAAACACTACCAATAACGAACAGGCCTTCGAAAAGCGCTTACAGTATATGACTCGCAATCGTATCATTTAATTGAAAGGATTCGCCAGTTCGATGACCATGATTTACATGTAGTAAGAAGACGTTCCTGACAGAACCCTAACGACACTGTGGCCCGAGTTGGCACTATGCTCATCCAGGAATACTGACACCCCGACAAACGGCCGCGCAAAAGAAAGTATAGACTTTGAAATTTACAACTGAATATTGTTTACCGTGAAAGTACGTACGACCTCTATTTTATTTGTGACGTCAT